GTTTCTCCCATTGTACATGACGGAATTCGAACCCAGGTTTGTTCATATCCCTAGAGCCATTAACGCTCTTTCGACGATGTTTGAACTTTGCTTGCGTAATACAGAAGTTATGAAGACTTGGAGCTTCACGCTGTACAAGATATATCGATTAGAAGTCAATTCTAAACATTTATTCACAGGCATCGTGTGTTACGCCTAAACGTCAATAGTCATTTATTAGTTTCAAGTACTAGATGTTTTCAAAAGGCTTTGATCAATCGTTTATTTAAGTTTATTAACTTGATTAACTTATGTTTATCATATATTGCGTACAGTGTCATCTTCATCCTCCTTATCTTACTCTAGTAGGGTCGGCACAACAGGTTTTTGTCCACCAAATAACTCTATCTGAATAAATGTAAACTAGTACCATCGTTATTAATCAGCTTTATTTATATTTACACAAAATATACAATTTATTAAAGCTTACATTTTTTTACGTTCTTTCTTTTCTCATGTCACATCTTGTACACTTTTTGTTCTACGTCTTAATATTTTTTAATAATAGAGGTCTTAGCGGCCAATATGCAACCTCTTTGGCTATATTTATAATTCTTGTCAGCCAAAGAGGTTGTATTTGCACTAAACACTATCATACGTCATCTAAGTCATCACTCCCAATGCAATGTACTTGAATAAAAATTGCCCGTTCAAAAATTAAGATTATTCACAATTCAAACATTCAAACTGAGCAAATTATTAAAGCGCTTGTAGTCAAAAGCCATTTACAGATGTTCTATTTTAACTGAAGAGTCGAACTATTCAGTTAAAATTGACTGTCTTTAGCTGGCTTAATCCTGCTTTTCGACTATTGTGATCATACCACCAGCCGTTTTGTCAGTTAATTTAAAGGAAATATTATGGAGTTTCAAATTATCTGCCAATTAAAATTCTAGATACATATTTTTTGCTTCTTCGGTACAGGTATCGTTTACATTGTTTTATCCAAAGTAGTTTCGAATAATTAAGTAATGTGTCAGATGATACTCCCAGCATTGTGCCGCCCACTCGTATGTCAAGGATGTTGTGAATCATTTAGGAAGTTCGGGTCGGTGCGAGTGTGCGGTGCGCAGTAAGGTCTTAGTAATTTTTCACAGTCTATTGCACATGCCTTATTAGCATACGTAGATGAAATAGCATGCATCTTGTTATGCATTGAATAGAGATGGTGAATAAATAGATTTATAATGTGTTTGAAATAAATCATATCATATAAGCTTTTGCCTGCGACTTCGTGCAGAATTAAAGTAATAATTAATAAGTAGCCTAAGTGTTCTTTCAGATTATTCTACATCTGAGCAATTATTTATCGAGATCCGCTTATTCGTTTTGGAGATTCGTAGTAAGAAACATCCATCCATCCATCGTAATTTTCTCAATCATACTTCATACTTACTGTTAATATTATAAATGCGAAAGTTTAGATGGATGGATGGATATTTGTTATGTTTGTAGCCTAAACGACTGAACGGATTTCGATTAAATTTGGCATAGACTTAGAGGATAGTCTGGAAGAACACATAGACTACTCACTTTTGTTTTTTTTTTTTAATTCCACGCGGACGAAAGCTAGTAAATAAAAAATTATTATGAAGGATATCGGACCATCATTGTGTAAAGGCGTCTCTAAAACTTAAATTAGTATGCTTTACTTTTTTTGTTATTTTTATAGGAAATTATCATTTAATAACAGACAATCAATATTCGATGTTGCATCAAATTAAAAAAATACATTTATCAATATCTAAATCGAATTAAGTTTAAATATGTTTTTACATACGCTTCCTTTACAGTTTGATGTAACTAATTACTATAAAAAACTGAATGCATGTTAATTAACGCAACGTTACAAGTAATAACCTAAATTGCGCTTGTGTCATTTATTATCTGTCAATATTGATGTCATTGGATAATAAGATAATCTAATTTATTGATTTATTGCAAATGGCAATCATTATGACACTGGTTAGATGCGTCTTCAACCTTGAAGACATCCTGTATAACCCGAAAAAATTGTTACACTCTGTTTAGTAAACACGCACTCTGTGACCGCCTAATCTGTAATAGGAATATCAACGTTATTATGCTTTCCACCATGAATACGTATCTCACTGCTATCTATACTTCTATACTATTATAATAAAGCGTAAACACACACTTCTTTGTTGCCTAAGATGTCACCAATTACAACATATTTTTGAATAATTCTTTTTCTAATAAAAAGCCCTACACTTACGTCACGCTTTAGGCTATATATTTTGACGCCATTAAACTTAGGGGGTAAATTTTTTGGATAAAATTCTAATGTGGGAAAGAGACCATAAGTTGCTGGCAACATCAAGAAAGAAAGATTGCCTAGGTTTGTCATGTCATTTTGACATTTGCTATTAATAATTTGACAAATGTCAACTGTCAATGTCAAATGTTAAACAATAAAATAAAATTTTCATAATTCCATGCGGTTGAAGCCGCGCGGGAACAGCTAGTATAATAATAAAGCGCAAACACACACTTCTTTGTTGTTTAAGATGCCAGCAATTACAGCATATTTATGACGAATTCGTTTTTTAATTAAAAGCCCTACACTTACATCACGCTTTAGGCTATATATTTTCACACTATTAAACTTAGAGGGTAAATAAATTGGAAAAAACCTTCATGTTCGAAAGGGACCATAAACTACAAACTGCCAACATCAAGGAAGCAATCGTCATTTGTGCATTTGAATTTTGACATTTACAAAAATAAATAAACAGTAAATAAAGCTTTTATAATTTCATGCGTTTGAAGCCGCACTGGAACAGCTAGTCAATTATAAGTACCTTATTATTTGTTGTTCAAGATCGCATGATAATGTATAAAAATTCACGGTTCTTCAAAAATCTGAGCCGGGTTCTAGTCATGGTATAAATTGAAGTAAGTAGAGTGTCCAAGTTTTGAGTAAGGCACTCTACGTTAGTCTCTTGACTGAAAAATCCGTTGCAATGAGATTACACAAAAATAATGTGAACATTTTTAATATTCCGGGCGTGCTATCGAATTTTTAATACATTCTTTATCAAGGCTTTGACATTCAGTTGACATTTCGATACTACAATTACAGTGTAAAGGTCTTCGATTAGGCTTCAGAAAGTTCAATAGACGCTGAAAAATACTAAAATTGCACTGCAGGTCAGAAACCGAAATAAGGTTAAATTTTAATATTCGTCTCAGTAGTTATTGAAAAATGAAAGCTATATGTTTTAATTTGTAATTTTGCTATACCAAATTTTACGTTACTAATCATATAGTAAAGTAAAGTTCTTTTAAAAAAAGTAGTTTGTTCATCTTTCTGTAGCTACAAATACATATGTGTAAAACTCTCTTAGAGTGGACATACATGGATATAAATTAAATAAGTACCTGCTTGCCATTCACAAGACAGAATTGGTCAGTATCATGCTACGTAGCCCCTTTGAACCCTCAAATGGCCTGTAACTATTACAAAATTAAATTTCCTGATGTACTTGCACGCTAGTAACACACGCCAGTTATATACATGTAGTTGGCACGTAACTCTAAAGAAAGTGAAGAAAAAAAGAAGAAAGAATGACGATGCAACTCTTATTTTCAATTTCATTGCGATACATGAATACGCAAATTGAACTATTGAATTAAATGGTCGATTGCTAGCAATGTAACCCCGCTCCATTTTATAATTTATTGTACAACATGCATGTATAATTTAATATATATTTATTATATAAAGTAAGTATATTGTACAATTTGTAATATAATTAGTTCCTTATGTGTTGGGTACAACAAATGTAATGTAACTAGCTGTTCCCGTGCGACTTCATCCGTATAAGATTATGAAAATTTGATTTTATTGTTTACATGTATCAAATTATCTATTGCAAATGTCCAAATGACATGACAAACCATGGCAATCTTGCTTCCTCAATGTTGGCAACAACTTATGGTCTCTTTCCCACATTAGGGTATTTATAGGGTGAAAATATATAGCCTAAAGCATGAAGTAAGTGTAGGGCTCTTTATTAAAAAAAATATTCGAAAATATGCTATGATTGCTGACATCTTAGGCAACAAAGAAGTGTGTGTTTACGTATATTAGATTAGATATATGTACTATCATCATATTACTGGTATTATTTACATTGGGCTAGAGTTTAAGTTTTTATACGAGTAAATCTTAATGTTTTGACTTCATTTTTAAGACGGCATGCCTGTCAATTATTTGGCATATCTGATCACTAGTTATGGCTACAAACTCTAACTTTCATCCATCCATTTACATTTTCGCATTTATAATAGATTTATCTGTATTTTTGACTGTCTATTTTTGATTTAATTGTTATTTTATGCAAACCTCTACATAAACTATATTAACCGTTCGCTAAAGTCTTAACATTAGCACTATTAAAAAAGGTATAAAGTCTGTCTTAACATATCAATATTGTGAGTTTTGGTAGAAAAAAATATTCAATTATTAATTTAACTCAATGCAGAATTTTATTTTCAACGTTACATTTTTTCTTATAATTCTTGACCATTATAACAATAAAAAAACTGTTTATTATAGGTATATAATGTGTTCAAATTTCGTTGAAGTCTTTTACTTGTAAAAATATGAAATTAAAATGAGAATTTCGTATCTTTATAATTGTTTGCAAAATGTTTTCGTCCTTCTAAATGAATTCAAAGAAACAAACAGCGCTTATTCAGTATTTAATAATGATTTTCTTTATTATCTTGTAAGCTTAATTTTAATAAAATTGTGGATTGTATTTGTTATAAACAATTTACATAATTAATTTGGAAGAAATGTAAAAAATATTCTTTGAGACAGGATCTTAAACGTGTAGTTTGAACACGCGTAATGCAATATGCACTAAGGTCCGCCCAATGCACTCTTATACTTAAGGTCTGAGCTGATCCTCTGACCTTGACACTGGTCTCCAGACACGTATATAAGCCCAGCCTGGTACTAGAACCAACATTCTTGGATCGATATTTGAAGAGATAACATGAAATTGGTACGTCCGAACTAGTTTGTTTAATCACGTTTTAAATTTAATTCGTAATGGTTTTTCAGCAATATTGTAAAATAATTGTTTTAATTTTAGGCCCTTTAAGAAATGGTGTTACAAAAATTATACATTTTTCTAAGGAATTAAACATCTAGAAAGTTCTGAATTACTAAAATTAAACGTGGTAATCAGCGCAAAGAAATCTGTAATAAAAACTATGGAAATAACAGATTTTTGTTTCCAAAAATTTAATAAATATTTCCTGGCCACTTTTCCATCCAATACTCTACTATTTTGATTAAATTTAAAACTGTTTCATTTTTATCTATAATTGCTACTACTTTTTAAATTATGTGCGTAGAATCTACAATTAATGGATAATGTATTAGCAAACTACCGCACTCTCAAACTAAGTAGTCACTAAGGGAGCCTTAACTAATCTATATTTACTTCTTGAGGACTAAGATATTAAAACGTTGATAACAACGCCATCTATATTCTAAAACTAACTGTTCCAGATAATCCTAGCTGCGGTGATTGGTGTGTGCGCGGCGGGCGCCATCCCGGCGTACGTGCCGCCTCAATACCGCTACTACCCTGATGGCAGACCTAGGGCTGCGTTGGAGAGAAACGCTGCAATCCTCAGGTCTGACTCCGAAGTCAACGAGCAAGGATACCGTTATGCTTATGAAACTGAAAATGGTAAGTATAGGCTGATTAACCTATAAATTTCATTAATATTGTAAATGCGAAAGTTTAGATGGATGTTTGTTAAAGTTTGTAGTCAAAACTGCTGAAGGGATCTTGAAATTTCGCGTAGATGTAGAGTATAGTCAGGAAGAACACATTGACTAGTATTTTTTTAATTCTACGCGGACGTAGTCGCGGGCGAAAGCTAGTAACTCGATTAATACTGATCAATTTATATGAAGCGGGTTTTTTTTTATCTAAATTCCAATTTTGTAGTATGCGCTATAATCGGTAACGGTTGGAGTCCTAACAATTTCTATTTTCCATTCAAATTATAATTTATCTTTGTGTAAATATTACTTCTATTATACTATTTTGGATTAAAACAATAACTTCAATAAAAGCACAAAAACAATAAAATTAAAATGTCTCTTTGCAATATCAAAAGAAAAATTCCAGATTTCGGAAAGATGATGTATTTGCGTTGCTGATAACGAATATCGCACTTAATTTTTGTTTGTTTGTCTGTCTGTCCGCATCCCACATTTGTTCCGGGTTATCTCCGAAACGGCTGGCCCGATTTCGACCGGACTTTCACTATAAGTAGCTGACATAGACGGGCATAGACTACATTTTTATCTTAATATAGCGTGGACGAAGTCGCGGGCAACAGTTAGTTAAAAACTATCATTAACATTTGTCAGCCTCATCTTTGTTTATTAACATCAAATTATTATGTCCAACTCTGTCTATTCCATTACTCTGTTACCTTAATAAAGTTCTAAAGGTTGTAAGAGCTTCATAAATAACAATTTATTAGTTCAAATATACGTTAAGCAACGTAGCTTACCCAACTTGTTTGAAACAGCCTGCCATCTAATTTGTATCGCTTGCAAGAGTACCATCATATTTTGTGAGATAAATATGCTAATCTAATGATTTAAGGTATTACTAACAAGGTCTCAGGTTCAAATTCGCAATAAAAGTTTTACTATCTTATAAAACATTTGTAAGAAACGTTACGAAAGTAAATCAATACTGATGAATAGAATGGAATATGAAACAAATATATTAATATTCATTTTTTTTTACATCTGAGATAATTTTTGCGCTAAGTAAAGATAGAACATGACATAAGTGGTTTAAATCTATATAGTTTACCAGTTTATTAAAATAAGTATTTTATCTTTACTATTATAATAAAGCGTAAACACACACTTCTTTGTTGCCTAAGATTTTAGCAATTAAAGCATATTTTTGAATATTTTTTTTTAATAAAAGACCCTACACTTACTTTGGCTTTAGGCTATATATTTTCATATACTTAGGGGGTAAATAAAATAAAATAGATATTTTGGATAACTGCCAACATCAAAGAAGCAAGGTTGTCATCATGTCATGTCATGTTGACATTTGTAATTGATAATTTGACAAAAAATTTCATAATTTCATGCGGATGAAGTCGCACGGGAACAGCTAGTTGAAAGAATAAATTACGTGAAGCTACTCGTACAGTTAACTATAAATCTTACAGTGAAGGAAAACATTGTGATGTAACCTGCATATATCCGCGAAGAATCAAAGATATGTGTGAAGTCAACCCGCAGTGGGCCAGCATGGTTGACTATGGCCTAGTTCTCCTCTTATTAGAGTAGGCTCTGAGACCCTCAATGGGAACGTATAGTGAGGTGCTGATGATAGTTAACTATGAAATTCGTTAAAATCTGGTATCAATTTTCGTTCCAGGCATCCAAGCTGACGAAGCCGGTGTAGAAGCTAACGGCATACAAGCTCAAGGCGGGTACTCCTATGTGGGTGACGACGGGCAGGTGTACAGTGTGAGGTATACCGCGGATTCCAACGGGTTCCAGCCGCAGGGCGCGCACTTGCCCACTCCGCCGCCGATACCTGATGCTATCGTCAGGTCGCTGCAACACAATGCAAAGGCAGAAGCTAGTGGCGTTTATGATGATGGTAAGTAATCACGCAACACAAGGTCAATAATGTTTTAAAATCCTCTATATTTTCTTTGCAAATTGTTAGATATAATTACGTTTTTATGGAAATTTTACGCGCTTCTACAGCGCCCCCTTTTTTAGTTTTATGATAGGGGTGGCGGTAACAAAAGATTTTGTAAAATTGTGTGGCTATGGTGTCTACTTCTGTCCAGCGCCCTGGGCGGTCGTTTCATCGTACCCCACCCTAGCGACCCTAAGTCTAGGAGAACCCGTTTTGATCCCAATATTATAAAGAGCAAATATTCATAAAACTATTTTATTAATAAAACATGAGAAACCATACACTGGGAACATATAAGAGTACATCTATCTTTTCAATTCACTGGTAGTATTAAAAAAATTAAAGTAATTGTTTTTTTTATTTCTTTTTTCAGGCAGCTACCGCGGGAAATACATCGACGCGTCTGGGGTTGTTATAAACCGTTACAACTACCCTTACAGACGTTTCTTCACCCCATACAAGACATACCAGTAACTCAATTGATATCGACGTGCCATATCTATATTGTAAGATTGTATAGTCCTCTGTTAACGAAATAAATGGATTTTGTATTATTCTTTTATTTTTGTATTTTTATTGCTATGTCATAACGAATTTAAAAAAAAATCGAAAGTTTAGATTGATGGATGTTAGAGTTTGTAGCCAAACGGCTGAACAGATTTCGGTAAAAAATTTAGTATTGATGTAGAGGATAGTCTGAAAGAACACATAGGCTACTCACTTTCTTTTTAATTCCACGCGGACGAAGTCGCGGGCGAAAGTTAGGCTATATTAATTTTATAAAGAGGAAAGGTTTATATTTTTTTATGTATTGAAATAACTCAAAAACTACTGGGACAATTTCAAAAATTGTTTCACCATTAAAAAGATACGTTATCATTTAGCAACAGAGGTTAGATTTTTTCTTTCACGAGCAACAGATAGCAGTTAATAAATATATAAACAGATTAAGGCAATAGCTTTAATAAGGTAGAGGAAGTATGAAGAAAGTATGGTAGAATTAGGGCGCAAGAATAGTGTGAATTCAAATATGTCGTTTGATAGAAACGTATGGAAATATAGTACATACTATGCCTATTACATAAAAAAGACTATGATATTTTACCTAAATGGAAACTTAATTTTTATGTCGCAATTATTTTTAAATTATTTTGTTAACCTTTTAAAGAATAATCCTGTTGACATTTTAGCAACTCCATAATTATAAATACACTGTACTTAATTGGAAACTATCGTAATAATAAAACAAATTTGGAAATCTATCCTTACTGCAGTAGTTATTTCACAAGCACAGTTACGGAATTTAATTCATATACCATTTTGAATTTAATGTCGTACAAAAAAGTGTCGCCATAAGAGTTAAAATGCATGGATAGGAAATAAATGTCCTCAACTATACGTTGCTTTTTATTTACCTTAAGAAAGATCACGGCATCTTCAGAGAATCCTTTTATTTACCATATGTATGTACGAATGCGATTTCGAACCCTTTTATGCAGCTTAAGATATGTGTAAAATACCATGTATTTTAAGAACGTCGTAAAAATTTGTTAGAATTAATTTCCGCATTGATTTTGTTAATATTTTTTTTATTAATTTATGACATCTGTTATTTATTAAATAGTACAATTTCGGTCTCTGCATTTTAATCATTCATATTTTTGTTTTAAATATCAGTATAGGGGCAAATCAAAGCCGGCCAGAAGTTTTCGATAAGAGTTCTGTCAAAATAGACAAAGAATAATTGCCACTACTTGAAGATACTAATTTTTCTCCCGATTATTTAAACTTTTTTTTTTAATAACGTATTACGTCTCAACGATTGATAAAGAGAGCCTGGATCCCAGACACTACATATCATATTTGGCAAGATGTTAGTACAAATCTTAGTTTTAAACTTTTGTAATTATTCGGGAACAAGTTGTTTCAGCTCTGCGAAAATGTATATCATATATATGGGGCATTAAATCTATCCAAAAAAATATCTTATGTAATACCTCAGTTATTTACATTTTAAGTAAATAGTATAGTATGTAGTATTGTGGTGCATACTGAATCAATTCTCTCAATGCCACAAGTGTTAAAGTTTCTATTTAGCATAACAAAGTCGTGGGCGGTACTGTATTGTTAGGGGTCAAATTTGTCATCGGTTAAGCGTTTGCGTCTTCACGTACTCGAAGCGTCTAGTAATTTAATCATTCTTCATACTAATATTATAAATGCGAAAGTTTAGATGGATGGATGGATGTTTGTTAGAGTTTGCAGCCCAAACGGCTAAACTGATTTCGATGAAATTTGCTACGGATGTAGAGGATAGTCTGTAAGAACACATAGGATACTTGGTTTTGTTTTTTTTAATTCCACGCGGACGGAGTCGCGGGCGAAAGCTAGTAGGTATATAAATGAGTCATATGTACAGATACATTTATGTCAAATAACATCAAGAAGCAACCAATTGCTAAATTTTAATAAACTACAAACATTTTCGTCCAGTTTCTTCAATTAACATTTTAAGTACAATTAGGAAAATCAACGGTGTTCCACATACAAAACCGTGGTGTTATTCCTTGCAACGAGACTTCTTCTAACAAATAACCAATTAAATAGCAGAGACTTGAGAAAACAACGGCAAAATAATAAAAGAATAAATTAGACGTGTACTGAACGATGTTTTTTTGCACAGACAAATCTATAAGCTGCAGTCTATTGATTATTGTTTTGTGTCGCTATTAAAATATGTACATAACGTTCAAGCTACCAAAAACTTTACAGGTGGGACAGCACCAAATTCCCCGACTGTACTTTCGTGAATAGACTAACACAATTCGGCGTAAACTGAGTATTTATTACACTCGTAATTCAAACCTTCGATCATATATCGATTAAAGGTATTCGAATACCGTGATATCATATAAACTCTGTTAATTATTAATCTGGTCAAAATTTGTACATTCATATTATAAGATAAATAAATGTGCTTAATAACAGATTGCAGTTCAGTTATGGCCGGTTTCCCATTTACATATAGCTATTCGTTAGTGTTTTTGCTCGATAATTTCATGAAATGTGTTTTGAACTACGTAACTGGATTTTTACTCCGGTGAAACTTAGTTTAAGGTGTCGATAAAATACATGGAAACTTTAGTAACCTATTATTAGTCACATGCTTTATATGTTCACCATGTTTTTTTTTTATAAAATAAGGTGGCAAACGAGCAAGCGGCCACCTGAATCCGCTAAAATGGCGAAGCGACCGCTGCCCATAGACATCCGCAATTGCAGATGCGTTGCCTACCATTGTCCGACGAAGGAGGAGACGCACATAAAGAGGATATTTCCACTTCCTATGCATTTCCTCTACCGTCAAATCCACTTCCCGTTCCCATCCTCTTCTTATAAGAAAAGGGTGGTAAAGAGAAAGGGACTTAAATTAGGCATTATTAAAATAGGCATCTGAAATGTTTCTACTCTTAAAGGATTCTTATAAGATTTAAAAAAAATTATCAACAGTCTACTAAGGTATTCGGTAGTATCTCTATAAAATATTCCGCTTCATTAAAAGAATTTCTCCTTCTTCTATTTAATTTCCTGTTTCATTTTATTGTTTATTAGCTGTTGCCCACGACTTCGTCCACGCAATATTAAGACAAATAAGTACCCTTTAATATGTTCATCTATCAACTACCAGTCAGCGAAAGTGCAGTCGAAATCGGCCCAGCTGTTTTGGAGATTGCTCGGAACACATGCGGCTTGCGGACAGACAGACAAAAAATTTTAAACGCGATTTTCGTTATCAGCAACGCAAATACGTCATCATCCTGAAATCTGAAATTTTTAGATTACAAACAGACACTCCAATTTTATTATATGTATAGATTTTGTTACATCTAAACATTACTATAACCAACTTCAATCATTCTAAACATGCATGACATTACTGGGCCTACGCCAAATGCACATTCAGATATGAGATCTTCCGACCTTGACACTGGCACATACAACCCGGGCCACTATATAAGCTGAGTTTAACACAACGAATAACAGTCATCGATCGATATTTCAACAGATAACAACATGAAATTGGTACGTCTGTGGTGAACTAGTTCTATTGTGTGGATCATCACGATGTTTATAACTATTTTTATTTCGTGATTCCGGTTTATGTTGCGCAGTTGTGCGAATTTCATTAGTCAAATCATCGCAAGATACTCCTCCTAGTATTGAATAGATTTTGATTTCCGGTTTTTAATCGTAGTTTTCTTTCATTTTTTTATTTGTCAAATTTTGTTTTTGTTATTATTCCATGTCTTGTAGAAATCGTTGATTCTTGGTTGCCTCTCCTATTAATTTCTGTGCTTAATATAGGCTTCTCTTTACTAATGTTTTATTATTAGCTTTAGATTATACATAGTTATAAATATCGTATAATATCAGATAGGAATAACAATTTGTTATCATACATAGTGTAAACCCATACTTACATTCCCTACTACGTTATATTCAAAATATTATAATGTGTGACGCAATCTCTCACACCCTTCTTTAGCATGTCTTCTTACATACAATTCATGCTTTCTTCTGACTTCCTCTATCTTTGTAGCCATCCACATTCAATCTTAACACTTTCCTGTTTATGTTTTCATCATCTCTCCGCATAAAATAAAATATAAAAATTAACGAGTTCCCTAACTTTGAATTCCAGCTCATCCTCGCAGCAGTTGTGTGCGCGGCCACCGCGCTGCCGCAGTTCCAGCAATACCAGCAGTACCAGCCACAGTACCAGCAGCAGTATCAGAAACAGTACTACCAGGATCAAAGGCCTCGCGCCGCGTTGGAGAGGAATGCTGCCATCTTGCGGTCAGACTCGGAAGTCAACGAACAAGGATATCGCTTCGCATACGAGACTGAGAACGGTATGTACATAATTTCTTTAATCACTATCCATTAATAGACTGTTGGAAGTTCTAAGAGTAGATTTCTTATAATTTTACACTAAGTAGATTCCTTAGTTGAAGAGCGTCGGTAGCTCAAGGGTTACTTGACTTTTAATTTACAGGTCCTCGGTTCGAGTCCCGCCATTTAGTAATGTGATTATCGATTTTAGAATTTCATATTTATATTTATCCTACCTCCTTCGGCAAAGTAAAATATCGCTATGCAACCGCAATTATCTGAAAACAAATTCATAGATATATGTAAAGTCAAACCGTCACTGCGGCCAGCGTTTATTGACTAAGGTGTATTCACTCTTAAGGTAGACTTTGAGAGTGGGTTCGTAAAGTGAACTTATGATGATGACAAAGTGAACATTAAATGTCAGAAAAAGCAGCAAGATTACGATAAAAAAAATATTCCTGACGCATAAAAGTCCTGTCGCACGTACAATTTTCCGAATTTTAGGCAGGAGGTCAACTTATATTAGATAATAACACTATAGTCAACGTCAGTAAATTCATATAAAAGTCATTAAAACAATGATGTAAAAGACCTTATTTAGTGGATATTGTAAAGTATTTTAACGATTGCGTTATAACTTCACGCCTACTATAAAATATAAGCAAATTACATACATCAGAAGCTTTAATATGATATGTCTTTAGATAAAAGTAATAAATTAAGATGAATTCATTTTCTCGTTTAATTTTGTATTGCAATATCGATGGACGCACTCTGAACTTGGTAATAAATTAAATTTTTATCTCTGATCAAGTTTACGTTTGGTAAATGTACAAACCAGTCACCGGTCAAATAGAATTGAGAAACGAACTTTAGTGGGTTTGTATCTTAAACGAAATTCGTTCATGACATTTTTGTATAGTTTTATACAGTGTATTGGTCAAATATTGTAACTTCTGGTTCTAGTCAGACCTAAGAGGTTATCATCAAACTGGCATTGTCCCTATAAAGGGTCGGCACAGTAAGTAATGCCTTCATACATCTCTAACAGCTCATATCACTTTCTTTTGTCCTCTTTCACACAATGTTCACTTTCTTCGGCCTTCTTTTACTTCTGTAGCTATTTTTAATCGGAGTTAAGTTACTTGTGGTAAATGTATTTGCGGATCGTTTATATGATGATCGTTTATATGATGACAGCCAAATTATTGAATCCAAAAAGAAACAAAACACTATAAGGAAAACAGTATTTTCCTCATGACTATATTGTTTTTTTTTTCGCGAGAGGATCTCGATTTACTTCCTCATTGGTTATAGTATTATAATATTCAAACTTTACACCAGTTCGTAGTTGCAAGCACATGCCTTCGCTAGTGCTCATTGCTGGTAGATAGATGCGTTTGGCGCACAATCTCCGGCATGCCTTTTCAACATTTGTCCTTTTACATATACCGTGTCGATATTTAAAATTGCGCTGTGTTGTGTATCGTGCGAATTGCGAGCATTCGTAATGTTTGGATAGCACTATACTATTGAGTTATTTTCGTGTTTACTTCTGTAGATAATAAATTTACATTTTAAACGTTTTATCTTATAATAGGTGTCATATATCACATTTAAATTTATATTTTTAACAATCGACTTTTATAATAGGTTTAACAATATTGGATATAATTTGAATTGAAATGAATATAATTTCTATGCGTTTAATAACTTTTGTGTTATCGCAGTCGAAACCTTAATTTTGTTTTAACTAAATATTACAAATGTTTTACTTTTGAAGCTTTCGTCTTTCATGAAAAATCTTTGTCTAATTAGTAACTAACACTTACGGTAGTAATCAAATACCAGTATTACAACAGATAAGTACTTAAGAGTAAATGCTTTTTAAAAACTCAAAAAATTGAGTAATCTGAACTTCTTATTTAATTTTTTTTATACTTTTCAAATGACTCAATAAGTTGAGTAATTTCAAAAGCGTTTGATATTTTTCTACTTCTCTGTCTTTTCAAAATGCATTTTCCTTTAACTATTATATTCATAAATTTAATTCTCTCGTTAACATTTCCAGGTATCCAAGCCGAGGAAGTAGGCCGTGAAGCGGACGGTATCCAAGCTCAAGGTGGTTACGCGTACGTGGGTGACGATGGTCAAACATACAACGTGAGATACACCGCTGATGCCAATGGGTTCCAAGCACAGGGCGCGCACTTCCCCACTCCACCCCCCATCCCGGAAGAGATCGCTAGAGCACTACAGGAGAACGCCAGAGATGAAGCTAATGGCATCTTTGATGATGGTATGTTGAAGTATTAAGAATTTAGAGGTAGCTTTAAACGGAATGCAAGTAATTGGCACCGGTTGATGTTACCATACACGAACTATTTAAATTATTAAAAATGCTGCATCTTTATGACACTAACGATTTCTTTAAAATAAATGTGATCATTGACCAAATTGATTATCAATTTAAATAAAAATTTCGCAGTTGTTCCTGAAATGAGTAATTCAATAATTTTGTCAATTTTTTAATGTTCAAATCTATTTCTGATTACAGGCAGCTATCACGAAGGTAAATACGCAGATTCCGGAGTGGTCGCCGCCCGCAATCCCTACAACTACCCTTACAGACAAGCCACCGGCGCCCCCTACAGGACATACCAGTAAACTTACAACACAGCACGTGCCATCGATGTCTAGTATAAGTTTATATAGGCCTCCGTTTATATAATAAATGGATTTTTACTCTTATACATAGTTGTTTATATATTTGCCCCTCATTCAAATATATCTTTATTTACCAATCTTTCAAGAAGTTTCTTGAAACTCAATGGAAAAATTACGACGAAAACGAAATTACGCACACAATAACCTATATTAAAATGTGATTGTAAATCGAGGATTATGTACTTAAGAATGAAATACACGCTAACGGCCAATTATTGAAACGACATCTAAACACGTTCCGTAAGTTCCGCCGCTTACAAATTGTCTGACGTCAAAAAATGAAATTTGTAGTTTAAACTTGGCCTTACATATTGAAATGTCGTTCCAGTATTCGTTTTTAAGATAAAGAGTTTTACATCCAACATTCTTCTAACACCACTTTGTTGCAATACAATTCTTGTTTGGGAAACATTTTTAAGAAACTCTTGTTTTACAAAATCCTGTATTTTAAGTAGCTATTAAAATTCTGTCGGTCTGTAATATTCGACTGTAATTTGCCACCGCGCAAAACAAGATTTACAGAGCAACTAATCGACAGAGCTTACAAATTTAACTACATTCCAACTTCTATAACAAAGAATGATTGGTTTTTACAAATTAAATGACAGCAACCATTATTTTTTCTATTACCTTGTTTTGACCCTACAATATTGCATTTAGCTTCATTAAATAAGTAATATCATTACTAAATTAACATAAACATTGTCATTAAGTTATCGGCGGGATGTCGTTGGATGCGGTAGGCGGAGGACCGCATTCTGTGGAAGGCATTGGGGAAGGCCTATGCCCAGCAGTGGGCAAACAAAGGCCTATGATGATGATGATGATGATGATTATCACTAAATAAAATGTTTATAACCTCTGTTTATAAATACTCTGTGCAATTACAATGCTTTAATTATCCATTGTTTTCGTTAACACAAGATAAGTCATTGTTTGGATATTACCAGTCACAGAACACCCACGGATTAAACGCTTCGCTGCTGGTTGCTTCATTAAAACGATACAATACACACATACTGTGGAACTTTTATTAATTATGATTCCATTAATAAGGAAATTGGATATTAAGAATTTGACTTTTTCATTAAAAAAAAAAACAAAAAATTTTCGCTACAAATTAATGGCCTTATACATTTTTTTTCATTACTTAATAAAATCTCTTTGTAATAATAAGTTTCTGTTGAATTTATGATGATTAAATGTTGAGTTAAATCATTTTTAAATGCCTATAAAGTAATATATATAACACACACGCACACACTCAAACGCACACACATAGATCCAACAAAGAAACACATTAATAAAAATAAAAAAATCCTTACAAAGCATAACCATAAGATAGAAAAAGTGTAATAAATGCTATGTAAGAACGGGACATTCTGACACTAGTAAATTATTTACAAGAATGTCCCAGCACCAGATATTTACTTGTAAAATATGTATTTTGTAATAAAATTACTGTTTTTATTATTTTATTAAATTTATTATTTGATATTATGATAGTCTTGTAGCAGTAATATTCTTTACCATTTCAATCAATCGTCCCAGTAGAAAAAAATCCCATAAGAAAAAAATCTAATTGGTCTCTAGCGATGAGTCGATCGGCCCAACGGTAAACAAACCTTACTATTACTTTTACATCAAACGACATTTACTTTAATATATTTCCGTACTCTTTGCGTAACGTAATATAATAATACCGTAATATCCTGAATTTAATCGAACAGGATGTGCGTTTCACAAAAATGTTCGATCTTGTTATCTTGGGATTTTAGTGACCGTCTTATTGCTTTGAAAGTGTAAGTGATAAACATAGAGCTATGAAAGGTATAGAGGCCACTTTAAACAATAATGACAATATTGTGAATATATGAATCTAACGGGCGAATCAATTAAACATAGGAATTGATAATAGAAATAAGATTTTTTCTATATAAAATAAAGAAAGGTTAAAAATTAAGTGCAAATAAAATATTTGTAAGATTATTTGGTTATAATCTTTAATGTCACATAATTACCATAGTCATATTTGGTTCTCACTCTTCTAAAACCTTCAAGTACCAAGTACATATTTAAAATCAAATAAATTTTTATTTTATGTTCTGTCTATTGGTAAATAAGTCTATCCTAAATGCGTTCCACTTGTTCAGTCAACGGGAGCATCTCGTTACCTCAGATTACTTAACCATACATTCACACAAGAAGAAACATGGAGACTACTAAAACTTAGAACTACGAACAATTAGTTAACGTAATTTTTGTCTAATAATACGATGACTTCCTTTTTAGTTTGTATTCTTTTTAATCAAAGCAGCGTTAAGACAAATAAATATGTTTATAGTTTTCAGATTATGTATATGACAGCAAACACTTTACTTTCTCAATCTTGGATTTACATGCACCCAACATTTCAAATAAGGTAAAAGGTACTTACACTTTGTTTTTGATGACATAGTTCGCCTTTTGTAGAGGTACCATCATGTTCTGTATTATCGAATTATTTTGTAACTATCACATTTAATTTTTAAATTAAGGTTTAATTATTATGCGTTTCCAATGAACTCCGCAGTTTCAGTAGTGAAATTACTGACAACACGACTGTGACTTCATACGGGCGTGCGTGAAGCCGCAAAATTTCGACTATAAAAAGTAAAGTGCGCTTTTTTTCTTCGCATTCATTGTCCAAACATCTCGAGCATTCAAATTCACTGTCATCATGAAATTGGTACGTTGTTAAATTGTTTTTTTTTTTTAATTACCAAAAGAAGATCGCAGTTGTGACGTAACACAAAGCAATTAGAACACATAGAACTGTTATCGCAAATTTAATTTCATATTTTGCTGTTTTGTAGCATATAAATATTTACCAACAGAAAAGTTTACAGTTAGTAAAACTAATTTTTTGACATATTAACAAGTAAAATCCATTTTACTCTTTACAATACTCTCTTTACTACTCTTTACAATAAATTGTGAACCCGCTTAGTAACTGTCTATCCCAGTTCAGTACTCATCTTGTGTTCAAAAACTGTATTTTCATTTGGCTTATTTCAGATCACATCTATCGCTGCCTTACTGGCTGTAGCATCAGCAGGTCAGCTCTACACTCATCCGCAGGTGGAGAATTACCAGAACACTGAAGCATACCAGCCCGGTTTAGAATACCATAACGGTTTCGAGCAGACGCATGCTGTAGACGGTCAAACATATAACAGCAGACCGTTAGCTGAGAAAACAGCTAGAATACTCAGCTATCACTCCGAGAATAATGTACATAATTATAACTATGGCTATGAGACTGAAAATGGTAAGTCAATTTAAATTAGATTTAAATATAATATTTGCAACTAAATCTAACTTAACTTAGATATGTGACTCGATATCTAAAAGTGTGACCGGACCTTTATAAGTACAAGAATCAGATGTAACAAGGTTCGCCGTATTATTTTTAGTATTATATCATTGTATTTAATGTATTTTATTACAACAAGCATTCTCGACTCTTTCCAGGAATAAAGGCTCAAGAAGTCGGTCAAACTCCTCACGGAACTCAAGCTGAGGGTGCCTTCTCCTATGTAGGGGATGATGGGCATGTGTACACGGTGCAATACGTCGCCGATGAGCACGGCTTCAGAGCGCAGGGTGCGCATTTGCCCACACCTCCCCCGATCCCGGAAGCGATCTTAAAATCTCTGGAACAGAATGCTAAGGATGAGGCTAACGGAATTGTTGATGATGGTAGGTAATCTTTATTGCATTTAGGTATATGATAAAAAGAAATAATTACTTCGCATTTTCATAATAAACATCAAGAGAATTAGTTAAAGGTTCGAATATTATCATGCCAATGTTAATGCGATGCTCAAATCTGTAGTTTCTCTCTCCGGATGTTGATTTTTTTTTATAACATAAGGTGGCAAACGAGCAAGCGGCCACCTCAATCCGCCAAAATGGCGAAGCGACCGCTGCCCATAGACATCCGCAATTGTAGATGCGTTGCCTACCCTTATCCGACGGAGGAGGAGACGCACATAAAGAGGATATTTCCCCTTCTCATGCATCTCCTCCACCGTCAAATCCACTTTCTCTTCTCATCCTCTTCTTATAAGAAAGGGTGGTAAAGAGAAAGGGACTAAAATTAGGCTTATAGGTATTGTTTATTACCTCAGTTTTCCCTCCGCTATTTCGCCCCATTCTCACATAAAATGTTAATTGAGTTAGTTTAGAACTGTAATATTTACTTTAAAGAAAGAAACAGGTGTGATTATATTTATTAATGTTTTTAACTGTATTCCAGGACAATACAAGGAACACACTGCATCTCAAGGCCAAGCTTACCAACAGTACGAGCCGGCGTATCAACAGAACTATCATAGCGCGGTTCAGGCCTCTGTTGATGCTGGATACCATTAAAATATACGAAAAGTCAATATAACTGTTCTCTTTTTCATGATTTTAACTTTGAGATAAGTTAACGTCTTAATTAATTGTTTTAACTTGACATATAAGTTCAGTACATTATGTAAAAATATTATAAAATCGTGTGATTTTCAAGCTAACGTTCTAAATTACTCCATCGTTTTTATCTAAGGCTACTTGTTAACTGGATGATAGTTTTGCAAATACAATATTAACATACAAAAGGCGATATGACATTAACATATGTGCTTATACGCTATTGTTTGCTGATTGAATCGTGATAATTCAAGTTTTTTGACGTCAAACAATTCAAGTTAAACCTTAACTGATTTCATTTTAATAATAATGACCAATATTTCGTTCCAAAATCCTGAAAATAGAGAACAGTGTTTAAATGGTAAATGTACAAATATTATTTAAATGTTCCTTTATTTAAAATATTGATTTATCTATTGACTAGTCTTTTTTCTTGCAATGTTAAATGTTTTTGTTGAGTTTTTGTATATTTTTAATAAACATATATCTTGTTAATTTGTACATTTTATTTCTTAAATCCTTGCTATAGCAAGGTTATATATAAAAAAACATCAAAAAATTAAACCAAATAAGTTTAATCTGTAAGATATACTTAAGCCCATTAAAATCTAAGATCAAGTATGAAAAATTTAAGTAATATTTTGACCAAGCGTCATAATTAAACATATTTAAGCTCTTCGCATCAAATTGTCTTGTAATTAAATATGTCTGCGGTTCATTACCACAAGAAATTTAAATTAAGTAGCATAAATAGAAATAGAAATAGAAATAATTTTATTGAAAAATAAGAGATTAACAATTACAATTACAGTTATACCAATTAAAAGATAAATACAAATAAAAATTAACAACAAATAATTTTAGTGCTTAAAATAAAGCATATTAGTTAAAGTAATACACTCAAGAGCATTAAATCCGAGTCACTTAGTGGACTGGATTCAATGCTCTTGAGTGTATTACCATAAAACATTTTCCAAATATCTAACTTACACACTTACTTCATACGTATAAATGTATAAAAGTACGAATTATATTTAAACTACAAGATGAAATATCAAAACAAAGAGGTTGCGACCTCGCCTAATAAAGACATCAACGAGTTATTAGAGACATTTTGATTGATTCGTTGCCTAAGTATTACAAAAACCACAGCATTATATTACCAAAGAGTTTGTTTTACTCATTTGTGAATATATCTCTATCTGCTACATTTCTGTTGATAAAATTAGTGCAGATTCTTAAAATTATGTTAAAATATTCATTGAATTTAGATAACTTTGTGATAAAACTTTTTTCGACCACTTTTATCCACTTAACAGTTAATTAAGGAACCAATACATTTACATAAACACTTTGAAATAAACTTTGATTGTAAGAATACGCAGAATATAAACAAATCATAGTAAAATTTTGGACTACAGTTAATTTTACGAAGATACTGTATCCAGCGTCGGTGGCTCAGGGGTTTGGACGGTAATGGAGGTCCTGGGTTGGAATCTTGCCATGTACTAATGTGATTTTTAATTTTTAGAATATTATGTGTACATAATTTACCCGACGCTCTAACGGTAAAGGAAAACATCGTAATGAAACCTGCACATATCGGCGAACAAATTCTAAGATAACTGCATGTGAAGTCAACCAATTCCAGGGCAAGCGTGGTTAACTATAGCCAAGTCACTCTAACTTTAGGGTAGGCTCCGAGTCCTTAGTGAGAACGTATAGTGAACTGGTGAAGACAGAAGGTGAAGACTATATCCAATCAATACTCGAGGAAATAATTTATGCAAATAAATTGAACATCCTTTTACTAAGGAATGCTGAATAATCCCACATATAAATATACGAGGCCCACGTTTCACTCTCATCTATTGTAATCGACGCCACAGATGTTAAAGATGCCTTAAAGTATCTGATTGCTTTCCTTCACTTTGACCCACTGACATTCTGAAGTGTGTAATATACGCTTAGAGCATTTTGCTCCGTTATAATGAATCTAAGATTCGCCAGTTATTATGAAACAGTTTTGTTATATTGCACCATAAGATATTAATTCAATTTTACGAAATACAAAAATATACAATCTGTTAATATCACTCAAGAAACAGCTAGGGTAAAAAAATAAATAATAGATTTTGTTATAAGATATTCTTATTCCATAAAAACAATATATCTCACACCCGCAATGCCAAAGAGGATACCATAGATCTTAGACCTCCATTTGGCTAAATTCTGGCACCTATCTGGATTATACAGTACAACTAGACATAAATGCATGTCGGTTTCTGGTGCTCTTAATTCCAGCAAGAACATATTACGATCACCAGCTATACGTTCCACTGAGGGGCTCGGAGCCTACCCTAAGTTAGGGTGACTAGGCCAGGACTACTGTGTGTTGATAGACTTCACAAATATCTTTGAATTTTTTTTCCGATATGTACAAGTTGAATTACGATGGTTTCCTCCAACGTAAGGACGTCGGGTGTACATTTCAAATTCGAAAATCTCATTTGTACATGGCAGGATTCAGACCCAAGACCTGGTGCTTTCAAGACAAGTGCATAAACTCCTGAGCTACCGACGATAAAGGGTGATAGAAGAGAACATATGTTTTTTAGCATTTCAGTCTTCAATGTTATGATTGCCTAACACAACAATATTACAGTTTGTTATTGAGAGAAAGGATTTATTCACAAGAACAAATCGGAACAAATCTATTAGAATCGTCTGGTCAAGGACATCGATTATATTAGGCGCGGTGTTATCCTACACGGGTAAAGCTAACCTTATGATAGTTTCACACGAGGGTAGAACTAATACAGAACTGCTACGTAATTGTTTTACGCCGAGACAGAATTATTAAGCAAGTGTGTATATATTTAACCAGTGTTAATACTGCAATGTCTACTGTTCTGTGCCACTGGTCCACCCTCGTGTGAAATAGAGTTATGTCGATTTATGATTAGTCACTGGTTGCATTGTTAACCGTTTAGTTTCATACCTGTCATAATCTCATGACGCGTGTATTCACTTACGATGCGAACTTTTCAAATGTCAGCTTCTAAACTTTTGTATATCAGATATTTATGCTGCAATGTCGAGGAAGCGTGCTAAAGTTAATTTTTAATGACTTCATCCGCGTGATATTAACAAAAAAAGAGAGTAGTCTATATTTTCTTCCAACATATTCTCTATATCTATATCGAATTTCATCAAAATCCGTTCAGCCGTTTAGGCTACAAACGCTAACAAACATCAATCCATCCATCCATCCATCTAAACATTCGCATTTATAATATTAGTATGATAAATCTTTGGATACTATTGCGTACTCTATTACAGATTTTTTAAAATGATTCGTTATTAAAAATAGAGCAAATTATTATGATTAATAATAACAACACTATAATTAAGAATTATTAAAAAGCTATAAATAATAACGTCCTATTATAAGCTATAAATAATATACAAAGAACTATTAAAAATACGATTAGGCATGGGTCATATGTCGATGAACACATTTTCAATTAATAATTTCCTCTCTAATGATACAATATGTATCGAAAAAACATCTACTAAACTTATAGACTTGTTATTTAACAGGAATATTTTTTTAATAAACGTCTTCATAATTTAATTATTAAATACATTTATTGAAAGAACAGTTACGCGTTAACTTTTTTTAGGTTCAAGATATATTTTTTCATTAGTAGTAAAACAATCTTAGTTCAAAACAAATTTTTTAGACGCTGCAAAATATAATACATAATTAAATTTTGATATAATTTTAAAGTATATACATTTGTGGATTTCTATATGCTGAGGTCGTTTCGCTATTTAGGCGAATTTAGGTAGCCTCTGACTCATTTGCTACCTAATAATATAAATTATTTATCTCTAGTACTCCGTTATTTTGAACTTTTAACTCTGGTATGAAATCTAGAAATACAAATTTCATAACCAAATGTTATTAAGTATCAACTACGTTTATGCGTATTTGTTTTATTAACAACAATAATGTACTTACTAAATTAATTGACGACAAATAATGTGGAACAAAGTAATTAAATGTGTAATAGCCTAACCGTAGATTTCCACTCCATTTTGTCAAAATGGATGACAGAGAAGACACTATTAAAACTCGACACGGTATTGGAAAGATCTCAAGTAATGGGATCTCACGACAGTGGGATCCTACGTTGATATCTATCTAAATGGTGTAGTCTTTGACATAGTGTTTATTGATTGACTTAAGTTCAAAGTTTATGCGATAACATCTAAGTTATAAAGAGTTGCGAAATGTTGAGGCTGTAGGGGCCCGAAATTAGCGACATGCTGCAATCTCTATTAATCATGTGACCACTAACGGTAGCTTGTCTTACTTATTTAAGTTCAATTCTTAATCGATTAATAGTTATTTTTTTTTTTAGTTTTTTTACTATATTGACTGTATTTACATTTTTAACAAACCGTATTAAAATATTTATCCATCAATTAGAGATCAGATTATAAAATCTTTTATGCAAAAAGGGAAACTATTGCACTTGGCGTCTATTTTAAATCCATAGACTAGTTAAGATTACAAGCCGTGGAATCGCATTGCATAAGGACCACCTACACATTGACCGCGGTCAAACGTGAAGCAATATCACTTTCACACGCCAGACCATTGGTGATCACTTTGTCCTATTAACAGGAAATGTCACATAGTTAAATGAGTAATTATTGTTAATAAATGACTCAGCAGAACAGACAATAAAAAATCGAATAGATTTAAAAATGGAATTCGACTTATTCGACTTATTCTGAATTGTCAAAATTATTAGCCTAAATAAAAATATTCATTGACATAATTTGTACATTCTTTGCTAACATAGAGTTACAATGCATTTTCCGCTAGAACTCTACATCTTTATTATCTATGGTATTGCATACTAACAGGTATACATAATTTAATAGTATAAAGTTAACCTTCACGAGCCGCAATCCTGCATTATTGAAATCGAAATATCACATCATTAAAAACACGTTACTCGCCATTAGAAGTACCATAGACAACGACATGGCGCGAACTTGTTACACATGTAAATGTCAGATTTGACAGCTCTAACATTATATTCATAAAACTGAATTACTGGCAGGCGAATTTACAAAAAACACTGGCAGGTAATAATTAGAGTAAACTAACACGAGATTCATAAAAATCGAATATCGTGCTAACTATTTGCATGCCAGTTACTGGTATTTAGTCAGTATTTACACATTCTATTAGCATGCAACAGAGCCAGCTACTGGCATGTGTATTCCCGCCCTAATATTTATTGTATTTCTTCATTCTAATTGTCATTTGTTTTTTAATTATTTCTCGTATTCGAATTTCAATCACTTGTTATGTCAATTTCTTTTTAAAAAACGAATATTTTACTTTCAACTGTTTTAAATCAATTCAGGATATGAATCTAACATTTTCTGCTGTCGGTACGCAGTTTGATACCACGGATGGGCATCAGAATGTACAAGGAACGCAAAGGTCAGTGCTAAACAGTCGTAGCTGTATCTTCATTTGTTCCTACAAGTCGATAATTTATTGAATTAAATACCGATGGGGTCACTCCGTCCAGGACATTCTCATAGTAAAGTTGAGGATACTATGAGGGTCAACAATGAAAATTTACACCATAATATCTTTTATAAAACGTACATATATGTAATTTTAAATGTCGAAAAACACAGTGGTCACCAAAACCACCTAACTCTAAATTTTTCTATATTTTTCTAATACTTCGTCCACTTTTATTATAAACTCTGACCACGATTCTTAACAATTGATATTCTTGTTTTTTTTGTAGTTAAAGAGAAAGAAATTGCTTGTCATTGCTAAAGGTAAGCTAAGACCGCATAGGCAATGTTTGCGCGCGTTTCATATCTCTGTATACTAATTATTGGTATGCTAAATATGTTAAAGAAATGTAAGAACGTAAACATTACATGACCCTTGTTAACTAATTCCAGTACCGCGTATTTGTAAATACTTTATAGTCATTTGAAAGCATAACAGTGGTAGTGTAGTTTTAACAGTGGTAGTGCCCGCTTTAACATCTTAGCACAAATGGGCCGGCATGCCCGGTATAATACCACGACCACACAGAAGACAGGCGTGAAATGGAAGCAATTCCGTGTTTCGTCTGATGAGTGTGGTGCCGGAGGCTTAATTTAAGTCCCTTTCTCTTTACCACCCTTTTCTTATAAGGGAGAGGATGGAAAGGGGTAGTGGTCGCTTCGCCATTTTGGCGGTTTCAAGTGGCCGCTTGCTCGTTTACCACCTTATGTTATAAAAAAAAATAATAAAACGAGTTAAATGCAGTATGTAATGCAGTTTTCGTATATCAGTATTAATTTTTGACTAGCTACAAGGTGTTAAGCAAATTGATTGCCTCATTGGGGAACTCAGCCGTGAGATTTTAATTAAATTTTGTTTGCCACAATGATTAATGTTTAAAGAGATTATCTAAAAACAATGAGAAAATCGTATCTTCTGAGTAAAATTAAGTGAACTGGATTTAGGGTTATGGATTTTTTTTTAGGTATAGAGCATTTGACCAAAAATATCTAGCAATACAAGAACTATTCTTATAGACATTTATTTGTGTTTTTAGTACTTTTAGTAACAATGAAACGGAAATACCTAGTCTCATTTTAAGACTAGAATTAAAAATACGTAATAATAAAATATATGTAATTGATTAACTTAACCTGGTGTATCCCAAGCTTTATGCGTACTGTGTTATTATCGATTAATCAAGGAAAGAACAGGATCTTCTTGCGGCATAAGAATAAATCTATTGCAGACTTGAATCATAATTTTGTAACACTTTAATGTTTCAAGAAGTCATTGCAAACAAGCTGTGTATATGTTACCAAAATAAGCTCAACTTCTAGAGAGACCTTGAAGATCATGAGGCCTTGGTCTAAAGACATAAAGGCCTTTTAGGTCTCATTCTGGGCTTCTAAAATTGATATGATATTGCAGAATTGAAAGAGCTAGATGCAGGCTGTAAAATAACTTGACGAACGAATGCATTTTGTTGCGTCATCAATTTTGCAACCGTCTTTTGTCTTTAATTAGGAGATGACTGTTTGCTATTGAAAAGAGCACAAGAGAAAGAATTATAACAACCTATATGTTTTTAAATAACAGTTATATTTCGAAGGTATAAGAATTCATTCAGTACAACGTTGGTATGCCAAAAGGAAATGCCGCACCCAAAGGTGAAGGTTATAGACCCACGATCGTCTTTTTATTTTAAGATCGTCTTTTGTTATTTTGAAAGTGGAAATGAGCGTTGTAGGTGAATAAAGCAACACTAACAGCTAAACTGAGATACATATAGTAGTAATTATGGGAGACCCTTAGTGTTGAAATAATTTAGGTGTTGTAAAAAATGTTATATAAATTGAAGTTGTCCCACACAAAGTACTCTGAACACAGTTGTAGACAATTTTACTTCGCAAGTAATCATAATTATCTTACAAATATTATAAATTCGGCAGTTCAGATGGATGGATGTTTATTACAGTTTGTAGCTTAAACGACTGAACGAATTTCGATGAAATTGGATATGGAGGTAGAGGATAGCCTTGCAGTATACATAGGCTACTCACTTTTTTTTTAAATTAACGCGGACGGAGTCGCGGGAAAGGCCAGTTACGTTAGTATATTAGTTAGCTAAGAAAAAAATATGAATTTTAATTTGTTAACTTGTCTATGAAAAATTTTAATACATTATCATTTAATACGTTATATTCATAGGTTGAAATAATAAAAGGAATGTGTGATATTAACTTTTTTTTTTAAACCGTATTCATATTTAACGGTGGCTTAATTTTTTTTAATATAAAACTTTTAATATACGTTCAGAATTTGTAGTGAGAGTTTATTTCGACAAGTCTGTATTATTATAAACAGGTTACGTATAGTTTATCGTAAATCAGATGGCCAGTGAAGACACTCCTAATGTGGAAATCTTAAAACACACAAATTAACTTTATAACCGTATACCATGTATGGTAGCGGCAGGTCGTGAAATCTATTAATCCACAAACTGCCTAAACATTATAAAATTTCAGCTAGTGTTTGAATGGATCACAAAGACATTTAATTAATTCTCAACAGTTCATAAATTAATGAAATTGAATACCTAAATAGTAAATGAAATATTCTTAATAAGATTTTGTAAAGTAACTAACTACCCGCGACGCCGTTCGCGTGGAATTAAGAAAAATAAAAGTAAGCCTATGTTTTCTTCCAGACTATGGCATACATATATGCCAAATGTCAAAAATATATTCAGATATTTAGGCTACAAACTCTAACAAACATACATCTATCTAATCTTTTGCATTTACAAAATTAATTTGATATTATTTCTTAGTTGCTAGTATGATTTCAAAATGATTATGTTAACAATTTTCCGGTGACATAAGTAACTAGTAAATATTATACCTAGCTACGTTCTAATAACCTTTAATAATACTAAACGTGAGTAATATACAAACAAACATGCGAACTATTAAATAATTGTCCGTTACGAACTGAAAAATGATAAAACAAGGCGTTAGATTATATTCGCTTCTGCAATATAACCTCGAAAATAACGCTCCCATATAAAAAAAGATTACTTATAATGGTATCGAAAATGAGAAATAAAAGGTTAAAATAATTTTAGTTATAACATAACTATAATAGTTGTGAAAATTAAACTGAGATATTAAGTTAATAGTTAAAAAACTTAACATTTCCAATTTGGATAAAGATAAATTAAATTAATTTATTTATTTATCAATTAAATTTAATTATTTTTCTATACTGTTGTAGTTAGAAACTCTTTAAGTATTAATTACTTATAATATCTTATTCAAGAAGAGATACTTCTATACTATTATAATAAAGCGTAAACACACTTCTTTGTTGCCTAAGATGTCAGCAATTACAGCATATTTTTGTCACGCTTTAGGCTATATATTTTCACGCCATGAAACTTAGGGGGTAAATATTTTGTATAAAAACCCTAATGTGGGAAAGAGACCATAAGTTGCTGCAAACATAAAGGAAGCAAAATTGCCATAGTAAGGTATTTGCTATTTTGACATTTGCAATTGTCAATTTGACAAATGAAAACAATTAAATAATTTTTTTTTGATTCCATGCGGATGAAGCCGCATGCGAACAGCTAGTAAGTTATAAAGTACTCGTTACTATTACTGTGTACCCCGTTTTATTAAACTATATTTGAGGTATTTATTAAGGAATCCGGATATCATTCTATACAGTAATTTTTCTTTGAAGCTTTCTTTTTACTGTATTTAAAAAAAAATAGTTGTAGTCGATAAAATTGCTACTTAAACACTTATCTGCATAAACTTAAGATAGGCAGAAATATGAGTTTTGTAAAAAAAAACGCTCAGTAATCGCTATAGAGTCTATAAAGATAAAAGTGATTCCCTAATTGAAGTTTTCTCTTACCAAATTTACAGTAGAGACTTGCTAACCATTAAACCAAAGAAATGGCGTTCAGTGAGTTGTAAATCTTTCTAGCTTTCTTTAGGTCAAAAGGTTAAATAACTCCTAGAGTCTAAAAAGTCTAAAATTTCATACACAATTGCTATGAAATATCAAATCTATTGAACCCGAAAAAAAAAGATGTCAAAAGTTCATTTTATTTATTGGGAAAAGTCGTAGTTTCATTATAAAGTATGAATTTTGTAACATACGGCGATGCGTATAAATAGGGGAGGGAAGGTACAACTATCATCATTCGAGAATTCACCTCCGACCTGTCAAAGCATCGCCATGCAACTGGTGAGTGGATATTCAGTGTCATAGATTAGACAATCATTGTCAAAGAATAAACTAAGGGATATCTTTATAGGATTATCAAAAACCATAACTTTTGTGCCTATTTTTTTTTATTTCAGAGTTTTGTAATAATTTTTTTTTTATTAATTAATTTCATGCGTTTAAATTAACTAAAGTGTAAAGAATTATTAAATGTTAACAATTTACGTGTAGAATTTTACAATATGTACATTACTGCTATTTTAAAGTTAAAAAGTTTTAACAGTCATAGACAAAAAATAGTCAACATTAGACAAATTCGTGAATAGACTGTTACAAAGACTGTCTGGGCAATTAAGTTTTAAATGACGCTTTTAAACATTTCACAACAGTCTTCAGTGATGTGTGAAACCGGAATGTGATGTTTATTAATTTTATTAATTAACAGATTAATACTAAAATGGTAACTTTTTTTATTATTGTGAGAAACAGACGATATTATATTAATACTAATATCATAATTTCGAAAGTTTAGATGGATGGATGTTTGTATCATATATCCAGAAAGGTCAAACAGATATCTCTAAAATTGGTCGTAGATGTAGAGCACAAAGTCGCGGGCAACAGATAGTACTATCTTAAATTCATTTAAAATAGACATCACATTTAGTTTATCAATTGTTTATTTTAGGTACAGTTTTTTGCGTATTACCTGAAAATGGATTGAACAAGAAATAATACAAGGAAACATTGCAACACCAATCGTAATACTATCGTAAAATTTAATATGTTCCGTTTAACGTAAATACTTTTAATAAATGCTTTATGTATATTTTTATTTAAAAAACAATGCTGTATTTTTGTCAAATCGATTGATGTCGTCTTTATGTTTTTGTTTGAATGCAAAATATGCTCGATTGTTAAAAAGTACGAGCGTTTATTCACAGAATGTAGGAGTTTTATTGTAGTACAGTTTACAAGTAGAATTAATAATAATTTCTATATAACTATGTTAATTACGTTGAATAGATAAATGACTGTAGATTATTATTGTCTATTTTATGATCATATTTATTGCATCTTTATCTTATTCATGTTTAAAGAATTATCTCGCATTTTTTAAGAGCCATCAAAAATAAGATATGTCATATAAAACACTAACTAAGCAGTAGAATATACCAAATCGAAGTGTGATCACACCACCGTAGTAATAGTTGTCAAATTGACACCAAAAGGTATTATAGCAAAGCTTTTTTATCCTTAGGTACTTATCGCCACCCTGTTCGGCATCGCTGCATCAGCGTTCGCGCCGTCCTATGAATCCAGCCGTCCTCAGGCGTCGTTAGAAAAGAACGCCCGCATTCTTGCTTACGACGCGGATGTCAAAGAAGATTCATACAGATTCAACTACGAAACTGAAAACGGAATCAAAGCTGAGGAACAGGGGCAAGAGGTAAGATATGAACTTTGAAATAGTTGATGAGTTCTAAATCATTACAATTTGTAGTTGGCATGCAAACAGATATCGTAACAGTCCGTCAATAAAAAGTTCTGCAACTCTTCTTAATTTTCAAGAAGAGTCGAAGATCTTGTTATTGAATGATTGTTACGATTAACAAACATTGGGACAGTTAAAAAAGTAAAAGTCTGTAAAAATCCATGTTGTAAATTTTATTGGCAATAGTCCTTTTATTTATTTATCTAGAAAAATTACATTCCAAATTACATTATCTTGCTTTTATGTAGCTACTTAAGTTGGACCTAATCCACAATAATGTCTGCAATAAATATTTAATTACAACAGAATAAGGATTCTCGAGTCATGGAAAAAAATGTTTGCCAATAAATGTCATGTGGCTGCATCACATAAATAAAATGTTAATACAGGTCAAAGATCAACTGAATCATGACATGCCAACCGAGACGCACCTGTATAAAATGCTAGGGTCACCATGATAATGTAGGACTGGACCTTGATGATTTTAATAAGATTTTTTTATTATGAACATTGTTGTTTTATCAACAAATAGTAATGACAGTGAAAAAGTAATTTATACGGCAAAAAAATTTTAGTTAAGGAAAATGTGACCCTAAACGAGCAATATAAAATTTCGTAAGCATAAACTTTACAAACGTCCTTCATATGATCTTTGGTAAAAGTTTTAATAGTATGCGCTTAAAATTTTCTTTTACCAAAATTTGAACATAAATTTAAATATTTAATATTCAGTCCCTTTTAGTATGTCACATGCAGTCACCCTAGTCAAAGACGATCCCATGTGTTAGATTGCAATGATGAAAAGGGCAGTGGCCAGCTCCGTCGACCGATATTCGAAAGGTCGAGTACATTATGCAAACGGCCTACTCCTAGATCTAATTATACATTCTCGACTTATACTTACTTTAATCAATCATTTTTGACAGGATGTTAAAGTTTACATTAACCTAGTAATTACGTACGAAGATATTAATTTAATGATCTGTTAACATTTGCACTTCATCTGTTAACTGTCACATCTAGTACGTGCCAAGGATTATCGTATGTGACCTATACATTGTTCAATATTGTGAACGAGATTTGACCCTGAATGAGTTTATGCCATTTTATGACAAGATTCAATTAGGTTTTTTGTCGATTGTCGTTTGTTTCGCAGCTATTCGACTGTTTAGTTGCGCAATAGAGTAGTGTGCGCACCTCCATATAAGATCATAGGAATCAAAGAAAGACTAAACAGTTGTGCGATAGTTTTGTCAAAGGTGTGCGCTCTCTTAAAAGAACTTGTGATAATAAACGGGGAAAAAATGGACGAAACAAGTAAAGAAATTTCGTAACAAGACAATAAAGATTTTAGATCTAAAGTAAATAAAAACATATGTTGTAAAGATAGTATTTATAAAAGTTGTACAGGCCTTGACTATACTTTTTAACATTTGCATAACGAATTATTCAACGTGTTATAGTTTCGTAATAAAAAGCCGATGTAATCATCATTAGGAAGAGTAAATTGATATGTGGAACATTCTAGATGACTTGAATGACGGGATCGTTCGAAATTTAATATCACATATGATACAAAGTTATTACGTGATTTACTTAACTAGATAACGATTTAAATATAATATAAAAAGTATAAAATGAAAATTATTCAATTAAAATGTTTTTCTAACAAATTTCTCAATTCACTTTCCAGGTCGAGGGTATCGAAGCTCAAGGTGGTTTCCAGTACACCGGAGATGATGGCCAAGTTTACGCCATCAGCTACTCCGCCGGCCAGGCTGGATTCCAGCCCCAGGGCGCGCATCTGCCTACCGCTCCCCCCACTCCTGAAGCCATCCTCAAGGCTCTAGCCCAGAACGCAGCTGATGAAGCCGCTGGTATCATTGACGATGGTCAGTATTATTAAGCAATTATTATTCTTGAAAAATCTATAGAAATCATCATCAACTTGCCCTTTGTGTGTGCTGGTCTTCGATACATTTCTATCGGCCGTCATATCTGAATCCACTTTCTTAAGCATATTCTCTTTTGCACAATCCATTCATACTTTTTTCGGTCTTCCTCTACCCTTGTAGCCATCCATATTCAATCTTAACAGATACTGGTTTGTGTCCCTGTCATCTCGTCGCATAACATGTCCATACCAAGCTAACCTTTTGCTTCTCAATTCCTCGACCACTAGCGCTACTTTCAATCTTCCTGTAACACATTCCTGACTTTATCCCTTCGTGTCATACCACACATCTATCTAAACATACGCATCTCAGTCACATGCAATCTTCTAGAAATGGATATGTCATAACTAAACTAGAAATTCTTCTGTCAGTGCTATGTAAAGGACAACAATAGTTCATCAATCGTTGAAACGTTATGTAGTCGAGACTTGCATAATGTTTGCTCGAGCACACAACAGCTTAGCTGTTTCAAACACATTGATTGAATGAACTATTATGAATCTAGACAAGTACAATTAGCTCTTTCTGTCTAAAGCTCATATATCTATGTCTTACTTCATTGCAAAGCTTGACTGCTTTAACTAAAGAACAGCACTAGTCCCTTCAAATACTTAAGGTTCTTTCTAGAAATCTCGAAATTTCTGAATTGCCAGAAGCAATGAAAATAACTGAACAATCTTCGCAATTTCTATCTAATCTGTTATCAAAGAACGTCGTAAATAACAGCCAGTCGATTCCTCTCGGCGTTTATCCCGCTTAACCGGCTGACCTATCACATTATACCGCCTGTATTGCAACGCAATTGGTGCGTAATGTGAAAATAATGGCTGGAATATACGCAAGTCTTGTTTGCAATATTAACCAGTAGATAAATAAGAAATTTAAAATGTGTAACTCATTTAGAAATTACAGGAAATTGACTTTTATTGTCTTTGCAATGGGATAACACGGGTTATAGAAAATGCTCTTGTACATCGAATTCCGGGTTTCGACAGTTCAAACAGTTGATCTCTTTTTGTCCTCCACAAATTAGATACGATAATAAGTGTCACAACGGTGGAATTTCACAACAAAATTATCCGGTTTTAATAATTTTTCAATACCTCCTCATCTGAATGCCTGGGAAGATGAATTTGTACAAAGATAATTGAATAGACTGTACGTACCGCGAATTGAACACCTCCGAAAACAATGCGGTTTTCTAGCATTATCAAATAACAATCGTGCGACCGCAAACTTGTTACACCACACCGAAAAATTATATGCATCTTTCACTATTGGCCTGTTAGGAACAAGTTTCGGCGATGAAATAAATACCTTTAAATAAATCAGATATTTCTATATCTCAAAAGAATTAGTAAGATATTACATAGATGGAGAAATTGTATTACAATCTACAATCAAGGATTCAATCGTGACACGATAAAAAATGTTATCTTGTACATTGATGTGATGTGCAGTCTTGGATGCACTAGATATCAATTGTATTTCTAGTTTATCCTTACTTTGAAGACTTAGATTGTGCCCCTTTGACTGAACTATCGCAAAACCCTTGTGAGATCATCGATGGTTTGGAGCCCATTCAACTTCAACCAGTTGAGCCGTTTTTAATTAATTTTCGCTTGTTCCAATGGTTTTAAAATGTGGTTCTTTCTAACATTCACGAATTTAAAATCCTCTTTCGCTTAGTTATAATAGTGATGTTCTTTCTGGTACAATTTAACAAAATGTGTTATTATTTTTATGACAAAAGAACGTTCCAAAAATAATAGGCAACATCCGTTTCACACGGTCTTTGTCCTTGCACCGGGAGTTAGGCTCAGTGATGTTACACACTGCACCGACCTTTGTGTATTGCACAATGACCTCTCACTCTGAATCACATTCATAGAAGCGGCAGCCAATTTATTATGCACCTTAATTTATCTTATGTTAATAGTAATAAAGTTGACATTACCATAATCAAGGTTATGTTTAGGTTGGTTAAATTTATGAGAAGATTTCAAATTATGATGTGCGGAGTTAGATTTAATGAGGAATGTAGATTGTGTTTTGTTTTTATGGAGTTTATTATAATAATGTTTGTATGCTCGTTAAGAGTTTATAATTTGGTTAACTTGAATAAGTAACTAACTTTGAACATAATTAACGGAAATTATATTAAATCTTTTTTTTACAAAACTAGCATTATTTAAAGGCATTATCATCTTTGTTCATCTGCATTAACCAAAGTAGTATAGATGGTAGAATTACTTTATCTTCTTAGCGCTATATGCCTTTATGGACCTTGGCTTGGTCCAGCAACGTTTTACATTTAAGTCTCAAACTACGGTCTTACAATTTGCTTTTGCAATTTTTTTCAGTTCATGGTATACATCTATCCACTGGAGCTTTGGTCTCTGACTTTTGTCTATTAAAAACTATAAAGACGCACTCTAAGTCTTAGATAATTAAGTTTTACGTCTGCTAATTTAATTCTTTCTTCCAGGTCAATACAACCCAGGTAAATACGGAGGTGGTCAGCAGCAACAATACCGCGCCCAGAGCACCGGATTCCGACAGGCCTACAAGTTCTAAGCTTAGCAATTGCCAGTATTAAGTTATCATCGATATATCTATCATGAAATTTCCGTTCGAAATTTAGAGTGACCATATTTAGATGGATTATAGGATATTCCCCAATCTAAAGAAAAACTGATTTTATAATTGCTATAGTATTATTTATTTCTGTGATGTCTTCAGAAGCTGTTTCTCTAACTACATTTAACTTGTCAATAGATATTTTAAAATTAATTTTATCCTATCTATTGATATTAACAATAATTAGTCTTTTGTTTTTGTTGACTTTAACTTGAAATTTTTCTAAGTCTTCGATATATGCTCGCTCTATATTTTGTGAATGAAAATTTCATAATAAATAACAATCTTTTCTGCCTTAGTAACTAAGAAAGAGTGCGTGATCATATAGTGTTTAATATTGGATAAAAATGTATTACCATAGTCATATCGATTACCAGTGAGAAAATGAGGCGATTATTTATTCTATGAATAAAATCTTTTTTGTAATTTCATACATTTGATATTTTATTTTTTACCCAAATAGCAAGCAAGCAAGAGACTTGCAACACAATTTAAAGGCATATCAACAAATAGCTGAAGATCATTATCTAGTAATATCTTTAAAGGTAAAACCTTGTGAAAATAAATTACTACTGCAAAAGTAGATAGGAAATAAATGACAATGGAAGAGCCCGATTTAACATCTTCGCACAAATGGGCCGACTCGCCCGGTGCAATACCACGACCACACAGAAAACAGGCGTGAAGTGGAAGCAATTCTGCGTTTCGTCTGATGAGTGTGGTGCCGGAGGCCTAATTTTAGTCCCTTTCCCTTTCCACTCTTTTCTTAAGAGGAAAGGATGGGAAGGAAAAGTGAATTTGACGGTGGAGGAGATGCATAGGAAGGGGAAATGTCCTCTTTATGTGCGTCTCCTCCCCTGTCAATTATAAGTAGGCAACGCATCTGCAATTGCGGATGTTTATGGGCAGCGCTCGCTTTCCATTTCGGTGGATTCAGTTGGCCGCTAGCTCGTTTGCCACCTTATATTATAAAAAAATGAGATTCTTATTTATATTTCAGATGTTAATATTTGTAAAGTAAAACTAAATCTGGTTTTAAATATTCTATTTATTAAATAATTGAATCTTTTATGTCATTTGATATTTCTATTTTATTGAATTGAACATCAATATGTGTAACCAGTGTTGGCGTTGAAATTTCCGGAACCGGGCGAGTTGCCTCCATAGCCGCTGCCAGGTCTGCGATTGCCCGATTGTTCTGGATGATACAGACCTGTAAAACATTACAGATTAAAACTATACAGTAATTATTAAAGAAAATTCATTCACAAACTTCGGAGACGATATTGGTGTCTAAATATTGATATAAGATGACATATTTAAGTTAAGAAATAATTCAGAGGTAAATTCCAAAAGCATGGCTCATCATAACTATGTTAGTTCTAGGATACAAATTAATAGAGAATAGAATATTATAGTAATTAAATAGAGAAAATTCCAAGACTATAGATTACTAGCTGTTACTCGCGACTTCACCCGCGCGTAATTAAAATATATAGGCAGTTACTCACCGATAAATTCCCTTCTAACAGTAAAAGAATTTTTAAAATTGGCTCAGTAGTTTTTGACTTATTTCAATATATACAAAAATACAAATCTTTCCTCTCTATAATGTAAGTATAGATAACTAGTTTAAAGAGCAAATTACCATCATCGAAAATTCCAGCTGCTTCATCCTTAGCATTCTGTTCTAACGCTGCAAGTATAGCTTCAGGAGTTGGAGGTGCTACTGGTAGATGAGCCCCTTGAGGACGGAAACCACCTTCTCCGGCTGTGAATGTTATGGAGTAAACGTTGCCGTCATCTCCCTTGTATGCGAAACCTCCTTGAGTTCGAGATGCGTCGCCCGCTTCTTCAGCTCGTATACCGTTTGATGTTTCGTAGGAGTAACGGAAACCTGGGAAGGGAAGCAACTTATACCATAACATATTTTTTTCTTAAACTATCTTCTTTATATTATCTAAATTTTTAAAGTACTAGCTTTTCCCTCAACTTCGTCTAAGTTAAATAAAAAAAAAGTATGTAACCTATGTATTCTCCCAGACATCTATGCCAAATTTTATCGAGATCTGTTAAGCAGTGTTGATTAAAAACTCTAACAAACACCTGTCAATCTAAACTTCCGCTTTTAAAATTATAGTAACGTTATGTATTCTATTGTTAGTATCAGTTACTCGTATTTCGAATAAACATACTGCAATAAAGTCAATGCATTTTTTATATCCTATTAATTCTATCCTATCTGCCTTTTTGTTGTTAAGATCAGCACTCCTCGTCTTAACTCTTCAAACAGCCTTCAATTCTCTAATAATACGTTAGACTTACCTGTTTCATCTATTTCCTGGATCTGTTGAAGAATAGCTGCATTCTTCTCTGCGGCTTGTTGAGGTCGTCTATTTCCAGTGCCGTAAGCACCGCCAGCTAAAGATCCTGTACTAATACTACCTCCTTGGTTTGGTGGTAAATAATTGTTTGATGGTGAACCTCCTTGGTTAGGAGGTAGATAGTTACTTGTAGGCAGTTTGCCTGCGGCTGCTACAGCAATGAACGTGCACAATACAATCTGAAATAAAAAAAAATGTTTGGTATTAGCTTTCACCCACGACTCCGTCTGCATGGATTTAAAAAACACAAAACTGAGTAGCCTATGTGTTCTTCCAGACTATCCTCTACATCTATACCAGATTTCATCGAAATCCGTTCAGCTGTTTAGACTACAAACTCTAACAAACATACATCTAAACTTTCGCACTTATAATATTAGTAAGAGTACGTTTATTTCACAAAAGATATGTTAATTTTTATTTAATACTTACAACTCTCATGTCGTTTATGTTTTCTACTGTGTTGACAAAGAATTGAAGAAGTACTGTGACCACGATACTAATTTTACACTTTTATATAAAACCCGAAAACCATTTAAAGTACCAAACTGGATATTATCGGATGACATCGATTTAATTAAACCTTGACTGTTCAATTATTTTCGGAAGAACTTTACTTTCGAAGAATGCGATCACATAAACAGGGTCATGAGAATATGTGCTTGCTTTTGTTCATTTAATCCTATCCCTACACATAAATGTGATCATACCAAGTCATACTATTAAAACATCAAGCGGTTTGGATGGATGTATGTTAGAAGGTATCTCCATGAAATTTGACATGCATGTAGAGCATAGTCTGGTAAAAAGCATAGGCAACTTGACCATTTGTTTTTTAATGGCCTAGTCGATGGTTAATTTGTGGTATAATACAAGGGATAAGAATTAATCAAGTTTAATGTGTTTAAATCCTTGATTTTATAAATTTAGTAAGAAAGATAATAAATTGAAAAGAATGAATGGACGAAACATGCATGTAAGGTAATGACTTTTAACATTTTTCAAATAAATTATGTTATCTGTTAATAATTTAGTAAAGCGCCATCTGTACACAAACTGTAATACGTCTAAGATTAAAATGGATAGTCATGTGATGAGTAAACAATTTGAGAAATTTATAAAAGATGGCGCTTTTTCATAATTTTAACATGGTGAATATTCTTAAAATTCTTTAGTTATTTAATTATCAGTCTCTCCTAACTACAAAACAATTTTGCATCAAATAAAATTTGAGGAGAGTACAAATTTCATCTGTACATAAAATAATTTAATTGCTTTGTAAAAAGTTACTTTCTGATACTGTATAGTAAATTGTATAAATTAAGCAAAATTTGAATTTAACTCACGGCACGACGTTGGTGGTTTTTGCAGACGCGATGACAGATGACAGATTAAAAAGCGGCCGCGACCGCTCCGATGAATTGACGACAAGAAGTTATGTAAATGCTATCACTAGATGGCGTTATAAGCAAACAGATACCAAAACCTTTTCTTCTTATTGGCGCTCAGTTAAGAAGAAGGCGCTATATTACCTAATTCGTCTTTAAATAAAGATGTCTATCAAATGTGGTGGTGAAATCGAGCACAAGAAAGAGGTGGCAATCTCGTAACTTGTAGAAAATAAGATATTCCTGTAATTAAAAATGTATGCTTTATCTTTGTTGTTGATAATGCTATTTTTTTTATCTTCTCTAATTTTGGTAACTTATTTATTTATTTATTATTACTTAATTATTTAACTATTAAACATATTTTAAACATTACATTTTAAACAAACTTTATTTTACCGTATACTTATAAACCTGTCTTATAATCTTATAATCTGTTGCACAAATTCTATTCCGTTTTATTAAATTTGTAATCAAATACCCTGTAACTAGTTTCGACTTCTAACCTACGCGGTTGTAATACAAGACAATCAGGTAAACGGCCTTAAACACACAATTTGTGAGGTGAGATTTGATATGTATAATTTTACTTCGACTTTTACAGGCGAGGTTGTACAAACCTTTCATTGGTGCTACATTGTAGCGACGATACCGCCCGTAAGTGAACATCGACAGTTTGTAATCTTACTAAGTATATTGTTCAAAAGGAGAATTTATTTCCGTTTTTTTTAATGTTGCAAACTTTCGAAGTCTAATCTTCAAATTACAGGAAGTTTTGTTCCCCCCTTTAAGTTGTAATTTAAATCACTGAAAGTCAGTCCGTGCGAAATAAAAAACATAGTAACAAATAGTAACTACATATGTGCCCAATTTCATTAGATTCTTTGTGCTGTTTTGGAGATACTTTCTAATAAACACCCAAACATTCGCATTTATAATACTAGCTTCGCCCACGACTCCGTCCGCGCGGAATAAAAAAAACAAATGCAAGTAGCTTATGTGTTCAACCAGACTCTCCTCTACATCTATGCCAAATTTCATCGAGATCCCTTCAGCAGTTTAGGCTACAAACTCTAACAAACATCCATCCAAACTTTCACATTTTTATATAATATTAGTAAGATATATAAGTCAGATCTGTTGGCAGTTTTTTTTTTAAACTAGTAATAGTATGAAATGACGATGTTCACGATCTTTCCGTGTCAGAAACTGCAGTTTAAAATTTTAGCACATAGACCCATGGGTCAAATCGCTTCCTGACCAACTACTGTGATTTGTTAGAGATGGATCGTCGGTTCGAAGTTGATACGAATGTTGTGTTTATGCAAATTGAATCGATTTATTAGATGACTACAATAAGATAAGATTAAAGTGCAATTTAGCATGAATTTGAGGTTATGTTTCTTATTCTTTGCTATTTAAATTACTATAAATTCAGTTATGTTTGTAATCTTAGAAGTAAGGACTTATGCTGTGTTGAAGTTTCAATTTATGTTCCCGTTACTAAGGGCCTGTCCCACCAATAGCTGATAGTCACTGAAATAGCTTAAAAATGACGTCACTGTCAGATAAGGGAACAAAATCCGATATTGCCATTACATATTTTACATGCCCGCCATGGCGGGACAGGCCCTTAGTGATTCATAATTGTTAGCTTGATCTGTGTTTTAACGGAATGAAACTCAAATTACGTATTCGGAAACGCATTTCATATATTTATCGAACCAGTAACACTAACGAATGGTTAAATGTACCTAAGATTCTAGCCATTGGTGTCTTGAGTCATAAAAAACTATGTTACAAACAGTACAATACAGTTACATTTTGGGTTCATATTGTACTAGCTTTCGCCCGCGACTCCATCCGCGTGGAATTAAAAAAAACAAAAGCCCATGTGTTCTTCCAGACTGTCCTCTACGTCTATGCTAAATTTCATTGAAATCCGTTCAGCCAATTAGGCTACAAACTCTAACAAACATCCATCAATTCATCTTAACTTTCGCATTTATAATATTAGTATGATAAAAGCTTATGAAATCCAAGTAACAAAAGATAGTAGTGTTTAACATCGTACTAATATTATAAATGTGAAAGTTTAGATGGATGGATGTTTGTTAGAGTTTGTAGCCTAAACGGCTGTACGGATTTCGATGGAATTTGGTAGATGTAGAGGATAGTCTGGAATAACACAGAGGCTACTCAGTTTTATTTTTTTAATCTCGCGCGAACGGAATCGCGGGCAAAATCTAGTTTTATATTATAAAATTATGATTGATTGGTCGTTGTCCATTTTTTTTCCGGAACAAAAGTTAAGTATTGCATCAATTAAGAAGAACAAAAAGTATGTTAAAAATCGTAACAAATTTATCAACACGTACAGACGGAAAAGAACAAACTAAAACTGGTTTATTTTAAACATGCATCGTTTAGTTAAATTAATAAAACATATGACTGAGAATTCCATAAGCATGTGCATTTAGTAACCGCGGCGCATCCTCGGGTAATCCTCGGGTATTGAAAGTTACACAGGAAATATATATCTATGTATCGTATGTCAATTCTATTGTTAAAGTTGGCAAAACTAAACTATCGTACAACCGTTTAGTCTCTTTTATTCCTATGAGCTTATATAGAGGTGTGTACACTACTCGATTTTTAGTTGTGCAACAAAACAATTGGGCTGCGAAACAATCGACAATCGCACAACAGCTATGCTATAGTTGCTATAGAACGCAAATATTCCTATTTCAAATTGATAAATTTCCATACATCCATTAACTACTAAACACAATATTAACAAATATCAAAACAATGCTGATAACAGATCGGACAGCTTTCGTATTAAAATCCATTCTAACAATAATTACGTTACTGAAATTAATTGATACTCTATCCTTGGTAATGTGCGTACTTCATTGACAAGTCGAGGTCGAGTCATCACGTTTGTGGATTAAAAAAACTATAGCAACTAATTACTTAAAAATACATATCGTAACTTGAACATAATCGTTCATTATGATCGCTATGAAACTATGACGTCAGCATTCGTGAGATGTTCAGGATTAGCTTCAGTTGAGGTATATATTGGGTCAATTCGTCTTACAGTATCACAGTTTTGTGTGAGCTTTACATTTGGCAGTACCTCTCCAACCAACACAAACATCAAAATGAAACTGGTAATCCATTTTACTATTATATTTTCGAATCCATTACCTGTAATTTTTATGAAAACATCTTCTCCTTACAGTATTTTACTCTCCCTTATGATCTTACTAAGTCCTTAATTACAGTTCTTGTTTTAAATTTCACCCAAACTATCAAATTAGAAGTAACAAACCAAGTAATATAATATTTGAATGTCATACTTGTAACTTTATCTGGTATATATCGTAGTTGCAACTAAAGTGACAGGTAAGTATTAATTCCAAGTAAAAATTCAGAAGCGAATGATATTAGATACTGATCTTTTTTTTTCTAGTTCATCGTCGCTGCTTTAGTCGCTGTATGCGCCGCTGGTCGTCTCGAACACCTCGAGCGCTCCTACCTACCTCCTGACAGCAGCAATTCTCTAGGATTCGCTTCTAGCCGTTCACAAAACGGCTTCGGTTCCAACGGACAGGGTAGCCAAGGTTTCGGCTCTCATAGTCCCTCTGGCAACTTCGGCTCAAACGGGAATTCTCATGGCGCCTTCGGATCGAACGGTGGTTCCGATACTGGCTTCGGTTCAAACGGCAATGGATTTGATGCTGCCACATCGAACCAGTACTTGCCGCCCAATTATAGCTCAGCTGGGTCTAACGGCTTTGCTAGAAGCGGATCATCTTTAAGAGGTATGACTTTTAAATAGTTTTGCTAAAGTGAAAGTGCTAATTATTTTAATACTGTTTCTATTTTCACAGCTCCTAGCACCCAGTATGGTACTCCATCCTTTGGCAATAACAATGGATTTGGAGCACAGGGTGGTTCTCAGTACGCGCAGGGCCGTACTCAGTCCGGTAGTGCCGGCCCCAGCAACCAGTACCTCGCGCCTGCTCGCTCCAACTCCTTCCAGAACCTCCCCCAGCAGGACTTCGACGAGCAGACCGGCTACCATTACTAATTAAATATACTTTTGTGAACGTTTAGGTAATGTGACTGGGCTCTCATGTTATTTGTATATAAATAAATATAATTACTCACATTACATATATGGATTTTTATTAAGAAAAAGAAGTAAACCCTTATATAAGTTGTAACTTAGTTTTACATAAGAGGCTGAAAACCAGCGCGGCCTTCAGTGACAAGCTGGACATCTAGACTGGCTGTATCAGCTGAGCCTTTTCCTTTTGCCCGGGAACTGATTTTATTTGTTTTGTATCTTTTTTTTTTGTTTTATTTATAATTTTATTTTTATATAAATGGTTAGATGTAGATGCCAATGTCTTACACGTGTTTACTAAAAGGATTTATTTTCAAAAATGTTAATTTAAATACAACATTTGGTCATGGTATTATGTTTATAGGGTGAACTAGTTCAACGTGCTTATTAAAGTAATATGAAATAGGAGTAATGTGTACGTGAGTAATGGTCCTCGTTAAATCGAAGCCAAGGTTACTGCGGAAACCTCATTAGATGTATGGATTTATGGATGGATGTTTATTAGAGTTTGTAGCCTAAACGACTGAACGAATAACGATGTAATTTGTATATTAGTTTGGAAGAACACAATGGGCTACTCATTTTTGTTTTTTTTTTTTAATTCTATGCGGTCGTAGTCGCTGGCAGCTGATAATGGTATTAGTTTGTGATGTTAGATGTATGGATCGATGGATGGATGTTTGATAGAGTTTGTCGCCTGACAGATGAAACTTATTAATTACGCAATAAAGTCAAAGTTAAAACTCAACATCATTGTATGAATTTAAATATTTTTTTGTTTAATATGATTTCATTCATGTTAAGATAATTTTATACATTCTGTTGGAAACAAATTTATTACCAAACTCTACGTACATTCCTCGTTTTGCGACATTTAAATCGTTTCTGATAAGTAGTCGTAGAATAATCGTAATGTTTCTTGACTACACCTTTCATTGATTGAATTAACATAAATTCATCTGAAATACTAAATACTCTGTGCATTCTACTCGTAAAATCGTCAGCGAACGTATTATTAGAATCAATAAATAAAGCCTTCCATCATCTGTCAGTTCTAACTGACAGTTTAAATTGAGTTGAACTGTTCAGTTACAACTGGCTTAAAATTTTCATAGAATGTCTAAAATGAGGATGATGATGCCTAATTTTAGTCCCTTTCCCTTTCCACCCTATTCTTAAGAGAAAAGGATGGGAAGGAAAAGTGGATTTTACAGTGGAGGAGACGCATAGGAAGGGGAAATGTCCTTTTTATGTGCGTCTCCTCTGTCAATTAAGGGTAGGCATCTGCGATTGCTGATGTTTATGGGCAGCGGTCGCTTACCATTTCGGTGAATTCAAATGGCCGCTTGCTCGTTTGCCACCATATATTATAAAAAAAAAAATGCAGACCCAATACGCGCTTTAAATTCAGCAATGAGTCTAAATATAATTATAACATTTTTGCATAACCCACTCAAGCGAATTCTCAAGTACCAAACACACTCAAAATCTAAGAAAAACATTCTAATTGGACGATGTCAAGCAATTAGTTTATAAAACTACATCCGGACCTGTAACCTTGATTTACAAACATTTTCTATTGACAATTCCACATTTCGAGTCGAATGTGTTTTTAAGTTGATACCGATTGTAAGTTTAGTCAAGGTCATCAGGTTAGTTCATCATGTCTTCGAAACAAGATATACCATGTTCAATTTTAAACTAGCTTTTGCCCTTGACTGTCGGCGCATAGTTTACAGTTAACTAAGCTGTATGTTCTTCCAGACTCACTTCAATATTTATACCAAATTTCATTGGAATCCATTCAGCCGTTTATTCTAGAAACTCAAACAAACATCCATCAAACTTTCGCATTTGTAGTATGAATATGATTAACAATTAGTAACCTCAACCCTCTGAGACGATGTCAATCATCTAGGAGATTAAATCGTCAGCGTTGTTAAATTAATTTATGTCGATTACTATAAAAATAGCATTGGTTCAATTTCTATTGTCATTTAATATCGGGTGATAGTTTTGTCCCTTCGATAAAAAAGTATTTTTAAGTTATCAGGGAAGTAAATGAAAATATAATTATTAATACGAGTAAATATATTCAAGTATATAACATTGAAAGAATAATCACATTAGCTAAGCGGTTACAAAGATATATGCACTAGTAATGGTAGCCAGTCTGCTCGTCGAAGTTCTGCTGGGGAACGTTCTGGAAGGAGTTGGAGCGAGCAGGCGCGAGGTACTGGTTGCTGGGGCCGGCACCACCGGACTGAGAGCGGTACTGCGCACCCTGGGAATACTGAGACCCACCCTGGGCTCCGAAACCGTTGTTGCCAAAGGATGGAGTACCATACTGTGTGCTTGGAGCTGGGAAGGAAGAATTCAAAATAAGAAGAGTACTTAATAAATTAAATGAGAATGACCAAATCTAGGAATCTCAAAATAGGTCAACTAGTTAATAAAAAGAACAACAGAAGATTATTTGTTGAATAGTAAGTTGCCATGGCAACGCTTGTAGAGTCAAATCATACCTCCGATAGATCCACTTCTAGCTAAACCGTGAGATCCAGATGAGCTGTAGTTAGGTGGCAGGTACTGGTTAGATGTGGCAGCACCAAATCCGTTGCCATTTGATGAACCGAAACCATTGCCGTTTGAACGGAAACCAGCACTGGAACCACCGTTCGATCCGAAGGCGCCATGAAAACCGCCGTTTGAGCCGAAATTGCCAGAGGAACCGTGGGAGCCGAAACCTTGGCTTCCCTGTCCGTTGGAACCGAAGCCGTTTTGTGAACGGCTAGAACCGAATCCTAGAGAATTGCTGCTGTCAGGAGGTAGGTAAGAGCGCTCGAGATGTTCGAGACGACCAGCGGCGCACACAGCGACTAAAGCAGCGACGATGAACTTGAAAAAAAATGTTGAACAGTTATTTTACATGTTAAACAATTAGATTTACTTGAGAACTGAGACAGATATGCTTCATACATTGGTCTATAATAGTTTTAATAATTGAAAATAAAGTATCTAAGAGTTAAATACTTGTTAAATAAAAGCATATAATGGTCTGATTTTTCTCATTTATATAGTTTTAAAATTTATTTATTTGCTAAATAATATATTTACACAATTCAGAATTAAAATTCATAATTAAATTATTACCAGTTTCATTTTGATGTTTATGTTGGTTGGAGAGGTACTGCCAAATGTGAAGCTCACACAAAACTGTGATACTGTAAGACGAACTGACCCAATATATACCTCAACTGAAGCTAATCCTGAACATCTCACGAATGCTGACGTCATAGTTTCATAGCGATCATAATGAACGATTATGTTCGAGTTACGATATGTATTTTTAAAGTAATTAGTTGCTATAGTTTTTTTAATCCACAAACGTGATGACTCGACCTCGACTTGTCAATGAAGTACGCACATTACCAAGGATAGAGTATCAATTAATTTCAGCAACGTAATTATTGATAGAATGGATTTCAATACGAAAACTGTCCGATCTGTTATCAGCATTGTTTTGATCGATGCCGATTTTATAGCTAATGGATGAAGTTGAAGACAGGTAATAAGTATTTATTTCTAGAGTTGTTTGAAGTTACCATTTTGAGTTGCAAATAATTTTGGCAGATCTATTGTTCTTTATTTATTAACCAGAATAAAAAAATTACTTCATATACCACAGATGCATTTGTTACTTAAAGGCATATATGTAAATTTATAAAAGCATTTTAAAATTAAATCAATTAAGAGATGTAATAAAAAATAAATAGTTTTGTATATATCTTAACTTTTTAATAATCAGGAATGTAACTTTTTTGGTTAACTATAAGCATTTTAAATGCTTTCCTCTTAAACAAAACATCTACGATCTTTAAAAAGTACGGGGTATATCATGTCTATGGTAAAATGTGAATAAAAACATTGGCAATAAACAGTGTGAGAATACGTTCACTTAAAATAATATTAATTGAAATACAATACATAAAACGCAATATCTATATCTCCTAACAAATATAGAGTTTCAAGGCGTTATAATCTAGTGTTGAACACGCCTGAATTATTTTGCGACATAGAGTATCAAATTAATAATAGAGCGGGCATTCCAAATACGAATATGAAAGGGTAAGTGATAAACGAAGATGATTACGGCGTGAGGACTAAAATGACGATAGATCAATCTGAACTTTTAAAACCTGTGTTGAATCCACATAGAGTAGTTAGGGGATTATAGATGGTACTAATTACCTTACAAGCGATTTTAATACATGTTAATAAGCATTTTTTTTAATATATGGGCGGCTAGATATATGAAAACAATTTTACCTAATAACTATTCAGAGAATACGGTTTTGTTGGCATTCTTACACAAATTGTATCTCTTTGTTTCGCGAGTACAAACGCAATCAAATACGTGCATAGACAATGAAAAAAAAATATAAAAGTATTCATCAAACGTGAACTTTAATAATTCATCAAAACAATGCTTTTGTTTGTACTAAAGCACGTTTCAAATTAATGATGCATCAAGTTATCGTAGACGATAACCGTGAATTTCCGCTGCAAACATATCGTTATCTCAGTTTCTTCAATGAGTATGACAGGGATGGGAATATTAACTTTTGATACAAGTTTCAAATGTGGTTAATTTATGAAGTCACGTGCGATTCCTTTACAATTATTTATAGCAGATACTCCTGCAGTTAAAATTACTCCGAAGAAGGTTCAAATTAATGATTTATTTTCGATTGTCAGCAATATCTACATTGGCAGATATATGTTAAACTTGCTATTGGCAGCGACTTCGCCCGCAAGGAAATAAGAATTTATTCTTCTAGACTGTTCTGTATTTGTGTTATATTTTATCAAGATCCGTTAAGCCGTTTTAAATACGGCATAACCTCCATTATCTGTATATTAAAAGCATCATATCTTACTAATATTATAAATGCAAAAGTTTAGATGGATGAATGTTTGTCAGAGTTTGTAGCGGTTGAACGGATCGCGATGAAATTTGGCATAGATGTAGAGACTGGAAGATGACATAGGCTACTCTATTTTGTTTTTTTTTTATTCCACGCGGACGGAGTCACGGGCGAAAGCTAATTTATAATATTGAAAGCATTATTTCTGCATTATTTTTATGAGCTGACTTTGAAGCTTGAAATAAATTAAAATAATAATTATTATATGTTATATTTATTATTTAGAAAGGATTGTTCTAATACAATTAGGGTGTTAAAGTGTATACCTTGAGAAAATAATTAACATAAAGCAAGCAAGTCACGGCACGAACGTAATTGGGATCATTGACTACAGCATCACGCAGCCCGTCCCTTACACCGGGTGTGTCACGAGCTTAACATAATCATAATAAATAATTGACTATCGATCGTTATTCACCTCAAGTCGTGAACCAATGTTAACCAAAACAGAGAGACTATTCAATCTATACTAATATTATAAAGAGGAAAGATTTGTATTTTTGGATTTGGGTGTGTATTGAAATAACTCAAAAACTACTGGACCGATTTCAAAAATTCTTACAGTGTTAAAAAGCTATGTTATCACTGAGTAATATAGGCATTTTTTTTAATTCTACGCTTGTACAGTCGCGAGTAACAGCTATGGTAGTTCAATATAAATTAGGTATGCCTAGAAATGTAACTTGTCTAAAATTTACGTTTGTCGCATTAAATGTTTTCAGTTCACTTGATCAAAGTCCTAGGGTGATACTAAATTATCCTCTTTTATTATATTTTGTCGGTTTAAAATCATTAATTATTATTTATTGTGTCTTTATCGCAAAAAAAAAACAAACAATGACATTAAAACATTTGGTAGGTAATAATTTTACTTGTTATAAATGTAAGTTACGTATGTCGGAATTACAAGAAAACAAATTGAATTAATATCAATTTTAGCACACGAGCGCCATGCGGCGTTCTTGAGCACTTCTTGGTAGGTGCACACTAACATTGTGTATCGTAGTAAAACTCACGTAGGCAAGTTTTGTAAATAAATTTAAAAGATTAATAGATTTATTTATAAAGTTACAAAATGTCTTTTAATACAATTGTGGTCGATCGCCTGGTTCCTACACTAGGCTCTAGGACCGTCTTGTAGGAGCCAGGGTTCTTCCGTCTTAGTGCTAGGTTTTTTTTTAGAACACTAATATAAATCTAAACAAATTTACAATAAAAAAGGTTGTTTGTGAATTCAAATATTACTATGTATGCGTGTGTTAGTGTGTGTGTGTGTGTGATTTCGTATGTGTATATGCGCTAATGTATATATGTGTGATTATGTAAATTTATGTATAATAATTATACAAAAGCGAAACTTTAGATGGATGTTTGTAGCCTAAACGGCTGAACGGGTATCTATGAAATTTGGTATAGATGTAGAGGGTAGTCTAGAAGAACACATAGGCTACTCATTGTTGTTATTCTTTTAATTTCACGCGGACGTAGTCGCGTGCGAAAGCTGGTGATAAGATAAAATTATGAAGTTTTGTAAGTTTATCTCGCCCACAAGCGATCAAATAATAGTAACTAATTCTGATAACGAGCCGCTTTATGTTTGTATCGGTTATTTTTTTATTAATAAATATAACATAACATAACGTCATAACCACCCTTGTCCCTGCAAGGGTTATATGCGTAAGGCATTTACCCACGAAAGAAAATGTTTGTATAGCTATCTTCTTATATTTAAATTAAGGGTAAGCAACTCATCTGCAATTACGGAGTTGTATGGGCAGCGGTCGCTTCATTTCGGTGGATTCAGGTGGCCGCTTGCTCGTTTGCCACCTAATATAAAAATAATAGATTTGAATATGTTTAATTTTAACATCGTGAGTATTAAAGGCAATAATTTTAAACATTATTCATCCTATTAAGTACTTAATGATTATCCTAAATAACCAATTAATTCGACTCTTATAAAAAACTCAAAATCACTCAGCGCCTGTCATGTTTCTAATATAAACGGAAGCGTCAGTTGATTTGTCTGGCTTTTTATAAATTTATCTTACAAGTAGTTGATTAAATGTTTTCTTAACACATAATGGCATCATCTTGAATCAGATATACTTCAGGAATAAATTATATTAACTTAACTATATTATAAAGAGGAAAGATTTTTATTTTTGTTTGTGTTGAAATAACTCAAAAACTATTGGGCCGATTTTAAAAATTATTTCACCATTAGAAAGGTAACTTATCTGTGATGAACATAGTCTGCATTTTTGTAAGATAATTTTAAGATATGTTAAATATCCATATTAATAGTCTTTTAGTCCTTTATCTCTTAAAACTTATTTCGTAATAAGTTTTAAGTCTACAATGTTTCTATTTAAAACCTATAATTGAAACGTGAATGAAACATTCAAATTTGTAGACATATAATTATTAAAAATTATATTCGCTGTTGAATCTTCAACACGGAACCGTTTAGATTATTGTTAATAATAATTTTAAAATTCACGCCTGTACTATACTTTTCATAACCTTAAACTTGTCTTAAGAACGTGAACTCTTGAACTTTTTATAACAATATTTCATCATAATCAACTTGCCTTTATCCCTACTAAGGGTCGGCATAATATGTGCTGTTATTTATTCCATTTCTATCAGCCGTCATAATCCACTCACTTAAGCATATCCTTTCACACAATCCATTCATACTTTCTTCGGTCTTCCTCTTCCTTTGTTGCCATCCACATTCAATCTTAACACTTTCTGGTTTATGTCCCCATCATCTCGTCGCATAACTTGTCCATACGCTAACCTTTTGCTTCTCAATATCTCCACAACTGACGCTACTTTCAAACTTTCATATTAATATTTACTATAAAAAAAATTAACATCTGTAATAAAAAAAGTCGTTAAATGTAAGTTTTACTTTATAGAGACAAAACGTTTATTACTATTAATATATCAGAATTCCTCATTAATTAGTCAATATTATTTTTAATAAAAATATTTGAACCACTTGCAATAAACGATTTTAATACATGATACTCTTAATTCAATTAAATTGAAAACATGATTAAAATTTTTGAAAACATTGAAAACATGATTAATTTTTTTGAAAACATTGAAAACTTGATTCAAATTTTTAAAACATAATAATTGACCTGTTATTTTAGAGTTATAAATTAATGACTATACAACTTAAATCGTCTTCAACATTCAACACTATATAAGGCTCTTGTAATCCATTTTCTAGTCTATTCCAATACAGTCAAGATCACGATCAACATGTCTGAGACCGTGGGAATATGGAAACGCATGCATGCATAATTTTACATACATTGCATATAATCATTGACAATCTATGTTCTAATATTCTGGATGATTGAGATGAGTATTCTAAAATTACATTTAGTAATAGCATCAGTAGAAATTTAAGTGTTAACTCAATTGTAGGGTCAGCAAATAGGAGACAGATCAAGAAGTAAGTGTAAATATTCTCTTTATGCGTCTCCTTCTCTGTTGATTAAGGGTATGTAACGCATATACAATTGCGGATGTCTATGGGCAGCAGTCGCTTCACCATTTCGGCGGATTTAGGTGGCTCCTTACTCGTTTGCCACCTAATAATAGATATTAAAAAAGTAGTATATGGCACCTATCAACCGCCAAACCGTTCACGTCCTCGGTTTTAGTATGACCTGTGAGTCGGTGGGTCTATGGGTGATGGTGAATGGATATTGTAGAGTCCGCAGCTGTAATTCGATAACGTCACTATGTGACATCTATACTAATGTTATAAAGAGGAAAGACTTCTATATTTGTATGTATTAAAACTATTCTTCTTCTTCTTCTTCCTTAGCTCTACAGCCCTTTGTGGGCCTTGGCTTGGTCAAGTAATTTTTTCCACTTCGGTCTGTTAGTGGCTACCGATTTCCAGTTTCTTATGCCAACATTAATAAAACTATTACTTCACCAATAAATAGCTACGTTATCTCTGAGTAATACAATATTTTTTTTTAATTAATTTAAAGACGTATATGTTAATATCTTTATTTTACATCATTCGCCTTACTCGCTATAGTTTTCTAATCTACTGATATTCTTTTTCGACTCTGACATGCGTAGTCGAGTCTACGCATGCCAGTTACATTGCCACAAATTTATTACAATTTTTATTTTTCGCGCAGACGAAGACGGGTGCAACAGCTAATCTACAGTCTGTTGGTTAACTAATTGCGAGGATCATGCCCTTGTTCCTCAGGGCTATATTCTTAAAAGAGCTTGCACCTCAGTTAATTTCTTCTAACGCAAGACAAACAAGTGGGTTTTTAATCTTAACATCATGCAAATCCGCATGCAAATCTTGCATATTCCGATCTAATCTGTAACAATAACATTGCAACGCTTGATTAGCATTCAAATCAAATTGTGGCATCAACTCTGCGAATGCGTTTATACAATGGTCCCACAGTACGTGGTTGTACCATACACGTAAGACCGTGCGCATAACTTCGAATACACTACCGAACAACTGTCGTGCGATTGTCGATTGTTACGCAGCAAATTCAACTGTTTAGTTGTACAACTAAAATCGAGTAATGTACGCTCCATATAAGCTCATAGGAATCAAAGCGAGACTAAACATTTTGCGATAGTTTACTCAAAGATGTGCGCGCGCTCTTATTTGCAGCAGATTGATAACCTCTATGGTGCAAAGCCAATAACTTTAACCTTGTAAGATGTTTGCTTTGATAAAGTTCGAAGGAAACAATATTAATTATACTAGCTTTCACCCACGGCTCCGTTTACTTGGAATTTTAAAAAACAAATAAGGGTGGCCTATGTGTTAGACTACTAAAAATAAAAAATATAATAGCAAAATTTTAAAACTATTCTAAAATAAACTAAATATAAATCAATAAACTTATCTGGCTCTTCGTCACTAAGATTCTAGTCACTTTAACAGTGTTAGTGCCCGCTTTAACATCTTAGCACGAATGGGCCGGCACGCCCGGTGTAATACCACGACCACACAGAAGACAGGCGTGAAATGGGAGCAATTCCGTGTTTCGTCTGATGAGTGTGGTGTCGGAGGCCTAATTTAAGTCCCTTTGTCTTTACCACCCTTTTCTTATAAGGAGATGATGGGAAGGGGAAGTGGATTTGACGGTGGAGGAGATGCATAGGAAGGGGAAATATCCTCTTTTTGTGCGTCTCCTCTTCCGTCGTATAAGGGTAGGCCACGCATCTGCAATTGCGGACGTCTATGGGCAGCGGTCGCTTCGCCATTTTGGCGGATTCAGGTGACCGCTTGCTGGTTTGCCACCTTATGTTATAAAAAAAAAACTTTGTTGACTGAAGCCCTAAGCTATAGTATTTTAATCTCACTTCATTGGGCCAAAAAAGTTTGTCGCACTATAATCTTGTATCATGTCCACGTTCGGTTAGATTTGGATTCCTTAACAACAAAAGCCTTGGCACAACAACAGTTTGCATCTGTCATCAGTAGATCAAAGCTCCGACTTCGAGGTCGCTTCATAAATAGTCATAAGGCTCATCCTAGCCCTAAAAGGAGATCGAAACCTAAACGGGCAGTCTTTTTGCTTTATTCCTACTTTGGTGTTCAACCTAAGAATTCCAAATCATTAAGCAATTGCGTAAACTTACTTGTTTTAATTATGTTGTTTAAATTACATTTTTTTTGTAACTAGGGTTCGCCCGCGACTCCGTCTGCATAGAAAAAAAATAAAAGACCTCTGTTCTTCCAGATTATCTTTTACATATACGCGAAATTTCGTCTAGATCCGTTCGGCAGTTGAAGTAAACTCTAACAAACATCCATCCATCTAAATTTTAGCATTTATAAGATTACTCTAAATACCAAAATTTATTATTCCCTTATTTCTTACTAATGTAAATGAGATAGTTTAGATTGATAAATGGATGGATATACGGTGGAAGGTATCGTTAGAACAGCTCAACGGATCTCGCTGAAATTTGGCACTGATATAGAACATAGTCTAAAATAACATAAGCTACTTAATAACTTTTTTACAGTACAATTTTGGTTATACTTTTGCACTTCAAATATTGCATTAATTATAACATTAACCCAAACTATCCGAACGTGTTTAAGCACGCAGAAAACATGTGCGTAGAGCAAGCAATTCCCCGCTTAGTCTGATGAGTATGGTGCCAGAGGCCCAACTTTAGTCCCCTTTACTTCGAACACTTTTTGTTATTCGAAAAGGATGGAAAGGTAACGCGGAATTATCCGTGCATGAGACGCATAGGATGGGAAAATATCCTCTTTACGTGCGTCTCCTCCTCCGTTGATCAAGGGTAACGCAACCGCTATTGCGAATGTCTATAGGCTGTGGTCGCTTCGCCATGCTGGTGTATTCAGGTGGCGGCTTGCTCGTTTGCCAATCATCACCAGCTCTAATACGTTCCTGCTGTGGGACTTGGACCCAACCCTAAGTTAGGGCTAGGCAATAGTCAACGCTGGGCCAGTGTGGAAGCTTTAAAGATTGTATAGGCATATTTAACTAGTTCGTTATCAATATGTCTCGAGAATATTAATGTAAAAATACTTGTATAAAAGTAGAGGTATCCTCATTGCATACATACTGTTGATTTTGTAATAAATATTTAAGTGAATTCTTGAAATGTTGATGCAGTCATGTCGTATGAAACCATCCTTTTGTGCTTACTAAATATTATAGGCTATATATTTCTATGTTTTTTTTTAATTCAAATTGTAATAACATACAAAATGATCTACAATTACTTTAGACATACTAAGTTAAGTAACTATTTTAGAGTTTTATAAGCTTTGTTAAATTCAAAAGGTAGCTAATTAGATAATTATAATGTTAAATGCAAACTACTTATTACGACATTGCACATATCTGAACCTTTGAAACGGTAAGGTCTTTTTCTGTATTTTATACATACAAGTAATCCAATTGCTGTAAGTAGCTAGTAAAATAAGAGTCTTGATTTGACCTTATATAGAGACATCTAGTGGTCTTTTAATGAGAACATCTAGTTACTATTGAGTACAACGCCATCTATTGATAGTGTGTCATATCACTGCGAAAATTTCCCAAATTGTTTTGATTTTCTTTTAATCGTATGCAATTATTATCACTCCTGTAAATGTTCCAACAAATAAGCCATTTTCAGTGTCTTAAGTTATAGATTGAATAGATATTTTCATTTTATAAAATTAAAATTTAAACCAATTTGGTTTAGGGTTTAGGTTATTTATCATAAGTGTAAGAAGTAAAAATCCAAATAAATTTGCTAAATTCACTTTATTATATTCATATTTACAAACTTAAAACTATAGCTTCGTATATTTTTTTATACATTTTTTTCTTACATCTAATACTGTCCATTTACAACGCCGCGTTACTATTTCTAAGTTTTCAACAATTCAAAGATATGAAGTGGGTAATGGAGAAGAGTGATATTGAGATCAACAGAATGTATGACTTTAAAGAAGAATTTCTATTTGTAAATAGACATGAGTATTTAAATATTCATCACAACATCGGTTCACAGCTTAATTCGTCGCCAGTTTAACATATAATGACGATAGAGGGAGTAATAAGAAAAGAACGAAGGAAGATGACGCATGAAAGAAAATAATCCATCTAATTCGATAACCTTGCGATATATTATAACAGCATCCTGTATCGTATCAGTTTAATAAATTCGCTCTTCGTATCGGTGGTTTAGAGGAAAAAGTGATATTAGATCTAAAAGATATTCTAAAAGCGCTTCAGACCTTATCTATCCCTCGTCATCATTAATGATTTTAATAACGGTAGCCAGTTTGAGAGTTGTAGTTTCCATTGCCAGATCCTCTGGGTCCAGCGTTAGGAGTCAGGTACTGACGAGAGGTGGCGCCGGCACCGAAGGAGGTACCCCTGGAACCGAATCCAGAACCACCAGCTCCGAAACCGGAACCTCCAGCGCCGAAACCGGAACCGCCAGCTCCGAAACCGGCACCAGCTCCGCCAGCACCACCAGCACCGAATCCTGAACCTCTGGAACCAGCTCCGAAACCGCCGGAGGGAGCGCCATATTGACCAGAAGGACCAGACGAGTAGCCGCCGTTGCCAGCACCTGCACCTTCACCGCGGTAAGATCCTGGAACAATTGAAAATTATTACATAAATGTAGAAGCACACAGAAGAACAATAGAAGAACATATTTCTAAAGACTATATTACTAACAAGAGAAACAATAATAAACACATCAAATGAAGATTTGTACGTTATAATCTATTTTGCATTTTAAGATCTTTAGAGCGGGCGCACACCTTCTACTAAACTATCGTACAAGTGTTGTGCGATTGTCGATTGTTTCGCAACCCCTTTCAACTATTGCACAACTAAAAATCAAGTAGTGTGCGCAACTCGTAAATACCTCAGAAATGTTAAAAGCGAGAATCTAACCCAATAAAGGTAACGACTGTGTGAGATTTTGACCCGGATATTTGGCCCAAAATCTAATTAATGTAGCGATATACGCTCGTTACAAATTAAATACGCTTACATCTTACGATCGTAACTCTTCTATTACTTTTGACCTTTTGCAAACAAATGAAAAAGCAAAACGAGCGCGGCTTCTTGAACCATTTTCCATTGCGACACGACATTACAAATGCCTTCGTAAATACTGATTTGTCTGAGCAAGGTTTGTTGTGGCCATAGCGCAAGCGATTAAAATTTTTTTTTTTTTTTTTTTATATTAGAAACGACAAATACGAAGAGCGAAAACAGAAAGCTGATCATCAACAAATGATAAAATATATTTTTGATATCAAAATAGAAAAGTAAACAATATGTGAAAAAAAGTTGTGTAAATTTAAAACCCGAAAAAATTAAGACGACCTTCTTGAATGGTAATTAGAAAACAGATTCATTTTATAATAAAATGTGTGTGAGTGTTTTAAAATTCGTTTATGTTTGAACGCTCAGTTTATGGCCCAACATCAATAACATGCTAAAGCTCATCAAGGCCTTGCACGAGAACCAGATCTTTTTGTTGAAGTTTTAATACGTAATATTATTAAATGAACTCGAATAAGCTTGATTTGGTAATTAAGTAAGTTATTTTAAGTTACCCTTTAAAGTAATATGCAAAATGTAAAAATACTTTGTTGAAGTAAGAGCATGCCTTGGAGTAAACTATCGCACAACTGTGTAGTCTTGCTTAGATTCCTATGAGCTTATGTTGTATAACTAAACAGTTGAATAGGCTGCGAAGCAATCGACAATCGCAAAACAGTTGTGCGATAATTTAGTCTTATAGAAACAAGGCACTAATATTCTTTAATCTGTCCTTATTTAAAAATAAGTCTTAGGCCAACGTAACAAATCTTTTGTGTTGTGGATTAACCATTGTACAAACTTATTACGGTGAAGTTTTGTTAGAATTACTCAAGAGCCACAGTGTAACAATTGTAGCTTAGAAAATTCACTTATGACCCTTAGTGATGGGTTTATGCAAAAGTGCCGCAAGACAATGCTTGGGCAATCGTTGTTACATTTGATTCATTAGATACCAAATGAGATTTCTTATTTGTACTATTTGTACTACGATTGTTATTAAGTAAGAATAGATAAACAGAACTATAGTTTATACGTGATTTACTAGCTTTCGCCCGCGACTCCGTCTGTGCGGAATTATAAAAACTTAGTAATCAGGCTGTGATCTTTAAGACTATGTTCTACATCTATGCCAAATTTAATTAAGATCCGTTCAGCAATTTAGGTTACTTTAATAAACATCCATCCATCCATTCATCAAAACTATCCCATTTATGATGATAGTAAGATTTAAGTCATAAGTTTAGCAAAATTTTAAATAAAACAAATATGAAACATACCTAAGTTACAATAAAGAAATAATAAAAAAAGATTAAGAAAGCTTGTATATCGTAAACGATTTCTTTCCAAGTGTTGAAGGAAGAAAATCTCTCTCGATTTGAGAAAAAAATACTACTGCAAAAATACTTTGCAATGAAATTTTCCCTTGATTAACGGAACTGGTAATTACAAGTCTGTGAAATATGCTAAGTGAAAATGAGTTATTTCCACGATGCAATATTTAATAGGCTATGCCTTTTGTTCTAGATTTCTCACAGCGAGTTCCCAAACACTGAGACTGACATTTGAGATTGAAATATATCATAACAATGTTGAAAACCTGCAAGAAAATGCCGCAATATTGTCATTGATAAAAGAAAATCAATCATTTTCTTCATATTAAAGTTAATTTTATAATCAATGTAACGACCGAATTCTGAAACGAATATCAAACACTGCTTGTCATTTGTCACTGTTACTTATTTAAATCTGCTTTTCTGAAGTGTCCACATATTTTGGTATTACATTTACTTCATTTGTGTTAGGTTAGTATTAACAGTAACACATTTCTCACAAACATGGTTAAGAAGCAATTAGAATTACATTAAGTATTTAATATTGCAGTAAAAAACATTGTTCAAAAACAATGGCAGAATTAAAATGGAATATCAAACTTTAAACTAATAAGCGTAAGGTACTACGTAATATTAGACAACTTATTTAATTGATACTGTCGCTTTTAACTCAGAGCAATACTTCTCGTCAAGACTTAGGATGCGCGCCAAATCTATCCATACTTCTAGTGACATTGACAGCTGTCAGCTAGGGACGTGACGTTTATGCCGATAATCTAGAGTTGCGCCAATTCTATAGCACGGTACTAATTTTATTCCTAACAGTAATAAGTATATACTATATATCTTACTAATATTATAAATGCGAATATTATAGATGGATGGATGGTTGTTAAGAGTTGTAGCCTAAAAGACTGAACGGATTTCGATGAAATTTGGTACAAATGAACAGGATAGTCTGGAAGAACACATAGGCTCTTGTTTTTTTTAATCCCACCCGGACAGAGTGGCGGGCGAAAGCTAGTATTTTATAAAATTATGTGTTTCCGAAGGGCTTTTAGATGAGACCTAGTTTACTAAGAGCAAATTCTCCCAGACGTTCACTTTTACGTTTGAAGAGCAACCTTTTTGAAGTAGCTTATCGAACTCGTTCTGTATGAACCGACACCTCTGTCACGAAATGCTCTGTTAATTTGCCTGACATTTCTAAATACGGAATTCTTACTTGTGGTTATTGTGACTAGACTATGACACCTTTCGGTATACAGGATACGGTAAATGCATCAAAAATATCAGAGATTCAAATTTTAACTCTAGTTAAAAATTACAGACATTTTTTTTATTTAAAACAAAGTTTCAATTATTTGTTATTTAATAGAAATTTGTAGTCAGGTGCTTGTAAAAATGTAGCAAAGAATCATAACATATTTTAAATACAAAAATTCTAAGGAAATTTACATAACCTAGAATCTAGTTTTAGGTCTTGTAATGTAGAAGTATTAATATCGTCATAAAGCCTGTGAAATGACCATCTAATTACGGCGAATAAACGCAGATTAACCTTGCGACCGTCATTACTGTGCTTCGGATTTTTGTAGGATATCCACATTTTTATTGGAATTTAAAATATTTCAAAGACTTCGTCCTACATCTTTACATTGTTCAAAATTTTGTATCCAATTTGTTTTTATTATATTGAAATTCGCTCGTACAGTTGTAACAATTTAACCATGGGCTACTTAATCTATAATATTACTAGCTTTTTCCCTTTCGTCTATTCGCTTGGAATTAAAAAAAAAAGTAAATAGCCTATGTTTTCTTCCAGACTATTCTCTACATATATGCCAAATTTCATCGAGATCCATTCAGCCGTTTAAGCTACAAACTCTAAAACATCCAACCCTTCAATTTCGCAAATAACATTAGTAAGAAATAAGATATCGCTGATTGGTCTCTATTTCCTAATCCAAGTAAGCATAGTCACACGATTATAAGTAGCAGTACAGATGAGCAAGCGGCAAACTATTGCGTCATTGCGATCGCAACGTGAACCACGAAGAGGCATAGGTCATTAGATTGATAGCAGCTAGACTCAGATTTATAGGATGCTACGCTATCTAAACTAGTCTACACGATTACGCACTTAAATCTTGCATCTTAGTTACATTATAAACTAACTCTCGCCCGCGATTCCATCCGTGTGGTTTTAAAAAAAAGGTAAATACCCTATCAGTTGTTTCAGACTATCCTATGCATGTGTGCCAAATTTCATCGAGGTCCATTAAGCAGTTTGGGCTGCAAACTCTAACAAGAATCCGTCAATCTAAACTTTCGCATTTATAATAGTTATTTTAAGTAAGAAGTAAGATGCGAAAGTGTAAATGGATGATTTTTTTTTATAGTTGCTTAAACGTCTGAACGGATATCAATTAAATTTGGCATAATTGTAGAACAATCTGGAAGAACACAAAGCTATTTACTTACTTTTTTTTTTACATTCCACGCGGACGGATTTGCGTGCGAAAGCTAGTACTTTATTTATTTTTTACCTCTTTGCGATTTCAGCATTTATTGATTTACTCTTAACTGATGATTCCATTTTATAAGTAATTACTTACTAGTTACGTTTTTTTTTTATAAGAAAAAAAATATAATTACATAACGAAAAAGGACTAATGGCTACATTATTTCTGCACATTAGTACAAAAAATATCCCATTTTAATTCTAAAACGTGTAGTCACTCTCTTCATTAAAACTTACGTTATACTTTTGAATTTAACAAAAAGGTCCTATTATTACAATAATAAAATAGAAAAATCACGTTTTTTTTTAATTCTTTTCAATTTTGAAGTTTCAATTGTCCCTAGATCCCGTTATGACATAGGAGAATCACCACTAAACTAACTTTGTACAAGTTCTACACTTTCTTGTGTATATTCCGTACTATATGAAAGTCACAAATGATTGGATGCGTCCTAATTCTATCACTTCTTAGCAGTAAATTCGTTTTTATGTCCAGTTTTATTTAAGTTATATAACTTTGTTTATGACGAAGATGAGCTTTTAAGTTATCTTTTATAATATTTGACTTGTAAAAATTAACGCTTCGATAGATGTAAGAAATGTAACTCTATGTGTTGTAACTAATCGTATATACAGTCGCAATGTCTATTTGTCAATTGCTTATCCACGCATTTATCATATTGAGAACAGATTTTCTCATATGAGTTGAACTCGAAATTTATGGGAACAAACAAAACACATTCAAAATCTATTCCTTAGGATAGAAAAGAGTGAATTATCCCATTTTTCCTTACTTGGTATCATGTAGGATCGTGATCTCTTACTGCTTAACATATGGTGAAAAGGAGACACCGATCCATCCGGAAAAGAATCTCTAATAGGTTTACTTAAAAGATATTACTCTATTCGACGGATGGAGCGACGTTTTAAAATAAAGTTCAACTCACCATCATCGACGATACCAGCAGCTTCATCGCGGGCGTTCTGTTCCAGGGATTTCAAGATAGCCTCCGGGATCGGGGGAGGAGTGGGGAGGTGAGCGCCCTGGGGCTGGAATCCGTTCTCATCAGCGGTGTAGGTGATACTGTAGTCTTGGCCATCATCACCCTTGTAAGCAAAGCTGCCTTGAGACTGGACACCATTGGTCGCCACTCCGGACGCATCAGCACGGATACCGTTGGACGTCTCGAAGTCGTAAGAGAAACTGTCTCCATTGATTTCGTTGTTCAGTCGGAGGATTTGAGCGCCGGCGTCAACAGATTGTCTGGCGTTGTAGCTTCCAGCACCTCCAGCACCATTGTAGCCGCCAGCAGCTCCACCTCCGCTGTAGCTTCCCGCACCACCGAATCCTCCAGCACCTCCGGCTCCTCCGAATCCTCCGGCTCCCCCCGCACCTCCAAATCCAGAGGCACCTCCTGCCCCTCCGAAGCCGCCAGAGCCACCGAATCTACCCGGACCACCGGCACCTCCGAACCCGTTGCCTCCAAAACCTGAGCCTGCACCTCCTCTGGGAGGGAGGTAGGTGTTGTCCAGACGAGCGGCGGAGCACACTCCCAGCACGGCGGCGACCACGAACTGTACAAACAGTCAGATTTAAAAAATGAACTTAATGATTTAAAATTGGAATCCTGACGAAAGGATGGTAATTCGTTTCACTCTTAGACAAAGGTGTTGAAGAAATGGATCCGTGCTTAATAATATACTAGTTACTAAATAAGAAAACCGAACAATACATATTACTATTGATAGTTACGCTTTAAACTTGGTGAAACCAGATCCTGCTCTAAATGGCATGTTCCAAACTGACCTTTGGTAAAAGACGAAAGTGAATCATTTGACCCGTCCCTTCGGAGTATCAGTAAACAGATAAAATGAATTCCTTATAAGTAGAGCAAGCTTATTTAGCACAAAGAAAATGTACATAAAAGTTAAATTAGACGATTTTAGTACTTTGTCTTTTATAAAAATGGCGATATGATTTTTTTTTTGAAAATACTAGTAATGGAAAAATTATAAGAGAAATAATTTCTATGTTCGTTTAAAAAATGTTAATTTAATTTTCCTATTGTCCAATGTTAAAATTAATAAGAGAAAATCCCTAAAATTCCTTATAAAATAATATTTTCTCCACCGAATTTTACTATTCAAAATATTAAAATAATTAATATTTAAATTCAGCCAGCAACTTACCAGCTTCATTATAAATAATCTAATGTTTTAGTGTAATTGTTGTACTGCGGCTTGGCTGCTCGCGGCTGACTGTGGTGTCTGCAAGAAGACCAGGTGGTTATATACCTCGCATCTTGCCTTAGAACGCCACTGAAAAAGGCTTCACGGCCGTTAAATTGCAATATAGTGTATCACCGGAATCGCTGGGCTTGTCTCTAAGATGCGTTTGTCCACTTAACAAGTAATTAAAGATTTAAAAATGCAACTTTTACGAATGCAAAAATTAAAATGTATTCAATTGTAATTTTATAGGTTGTTTTAATTAATTTTGTTCTTTAATTTACAGTTTAATTTTTTTTTTATTCAATAATTTCTGATAAATTTAATTAATTTTTAGAAAAACCATTCTATTTCCAAATTAATTAAAGATAATAAAAGCATTTTTAAAATGTTCTTTTGTCTGTTTTATAACTAATATTAGTAGATATTATTGTTATTATAAATTTTATTTTACCTAAGCGTAAAATCAAGGACAAGTGAGTGTCTTTCGTTTTCGCAAAACCTCATTCCACCATAATATATTTGTGAAGCTTCTGCTAACGACCGCGAGATGGCGCAACATCGGGATCGACCACGAATACGTGCTCATCAGGATTAGTATGGCTTCGTAGTTTTGAAATTTTACAATAAACGTTAATTCTTAATATTTTCATACAATAATAAAACATTTTTGTACTAATTGTTAGTAGACACTAACGCAATTTTTTACCAACTTGCCTAGATTCGCCCTCGAGAGATTTCACTTTGGTTAAGCCGCTATCTAAATCAAATATAAAATTTATGAACTTAGATTACATCTTATTTATTTATTTATTTATTAGCTTTATTTATTCCATACAGAAAATAACTTATAAACGTACAAAATATTTATATTATTTATTTATTATTAGAGATTACATCTAGACGTTGTTAAAACAAAATTCTATCAAAAGGGACATCTAAATTTAATGGATTAGTTGACAAAAAGTTGTCATACATGCCCTATCTATAATCATGTAACAGTAAGCAGCAAATTGGAGTAGCTTTAGCGACTCCGTTCGGTTGACATTAAAAAAAAGTAAGTGACCTATGTGTGTTTTCTAGACTTTCCTCTATATCTTAAAATAGCTGTTCCCGTGCGACTTCATTCGCATGAAATTATGAAATTGTTTTATTGATTACATTTGTCAAATTCAATTGCAAATGTCAAAATGACATGACCTAATGACAAATTATGGCAACATTGCTTCTTTGATGTTGGCAGCAACGTATGATCTCTTTCCCACATATGGGTTTTTTCCAAAATATTTACCCCCTAAGTTTAATGGCGTGAAAATATATAGCCTAAATCGTGACGTAAGTGTAGGGCTTTTTATTAAAGAAAGAATTATTCAAAAATATGCTTTGATTGCTGACATGTTAGGCAACAAAGAAGTGTGTGTTTACGCTTTATTATAATAGTATAGAAGAATACTTTATTTGTTGTCAGTGACCTCTATTTCTCCCTCTAGGTTGTTGGGGAAAAACTAACTACATCCAATATTGGAATGCGGTTAAAACAATCTCTAAATAACTTGTTTGTATCAGTTACATGTAAGTAAGCGTTATATGTGTTTGAAGTATCAAATTAATATGTTATCGAATATACATTGCTCAATAAAATTCTATTTAATGTATTTGGAAACAGAAATATGATTTTAGTTTGTTTAAAGATTAACAGATGGCGTTAAAACTGCTTTTACAAGAGGCAGTGCAATATGTAACAGATTCCCAGGCGTCCGGTACCGCACGTTGCCACACCGCGGAGATGCGAATCCACTTTATCTATTATATTATTATCGCGAGGACAATAATTACGGTGAATATCTTTACGAGACATACGGACGAAAAGTTTGACAAGCAAAAAATTAACAGAATACTTCAGAGCGGCGGTCGACTTATCTAGAAAAAGTATAATTTACACTAATGTTGTAAAAAGGTGAGGTTTGTATTTTTTTATGTAACGAATAAAATCAAAAACTAGTGGACCGATTAAAAAAAACTATCTGTTATTACAAAGCCACTTTATTCCCGAGTGACATAGACTATTTTGATTAATAGATTTTTTAATATGGCGCGGATAATGTTGAGGACAAATGTGAGATATTTATATTTGGATGTCTCGAAGAGAGTTTTAAAACAAAAAAATTCTTTATACTAATTTAAAGACCTTAACATTTTTTTCTATTGTCAAAATACTCTTACGACTTTTTACATACCTTCATTTTTACTATTACCCGGAGTTCATATACATACAGTCAGACGCATCAATATTTTACGTGTATAATGAACAATGCTTGACGTGATTTCGGTACGTATGTTATTAAGACTAACGTGAGAATGAAATTTATCGTTTTGAAACATTTTTTGTGCATCCGCTAAGTAGATTATGAAGTATCACCGTGGAGTTACTTAAAATTTTACAATATTTGTGCTACAAAAGTAATTTCCTGTACTATAGGATATAGCCAACTATCACACTATACTATTATAATAAAGCGTAAACACACACTACTTTGTTGCCTAAGATATCAGCAATTACAGCATATTTTTGAATAATTCTTTTTATGATAAAAAGTCCTGCACTTACGTCACGCTTTAGGCTATATATTTTCACGCTATTAAACTTAGGGGGTAAATATTTTGGATAAAAACCCTAATATGGGAAAGAGACCATAAGTTGCTGCCAACATCAAGAGAGATTGATTGCTATATAAGGTTTGTCATGTCATTTTGACATTTGCAATTGATAATTTGACAAAAATTGTAAACAATAAAATAAAATTTTCATAATTTCATGTGGATGAAGTCGCATGGGAACAGCTAGTAATATTTAAAGAGTAATCAGAGTCAACTCAAATGGTATATGAAGCTGGGCTTATCCTATAATCTATTTAAAGAGGGAAACAATGTATATCTTTATGTAATGAATAAACTTAAAACTACTGGACCGATTTCATCATTTTTTTGACTTAAAAGCAATTTTCATAATTAAAATGCTATATTATTTACTAAATATTAAATTAACGCTAAAATAGCGAGCATAAGCTAGTCTATTCTAATATTATAAAGAGAAAAGATTTGTATTTCTGTATGTATTGAAATAACTCAAAAACTACTGAACCGATTTCAAAAATACTTTCGCAATGAAATAACTGGGTTACCACTTCGTAACATAGGTTGTTTTTTTTTACTATTTTAATTCTACGCAGACGAAGTCTCAAGCATCAGCTAGTCGTTAATATTTTGCATAGAGACGAAACTCGTTCAATTGCAGGACATCCTGTTAATCTAATTACATCCTAGATGACTAACTTAAGCGTGACTTAGATGACGTCATTAATACGAAGTCATCGCGATATTATTATAGACGAAACTTAATATTTTTTACCAAGTTAAGTGAGCGATTGTACGGTAATTTGTGGTTCTAATGAATAGTGGTTATGTTAGAATGCAATAAATGTAATAAAGCTAAATAGTATGAAATATTAAGTTGTTTAAAATCTGATTTGTGTTAATTTTAGTAGCTTTATAATATAATTTATTACTATCAATAATTTTCATCAACTTGCTCTTGTCTTGAGAGTGGACAATACATGTTGCTCTTAACAGTGGTAGAGCCCGCTTTAACATCTTCGCACGAATGGGCCGGCTCGCCCGGTGTAACAGGCATGAAGTGGAAGCAAATCCGCGTTTCTGACGAATGTGGTGCCCGAGGCCTAATTTTAGTCCCTTTCCCTTTCTATCCTTTTCTTAAGAGGGATGGGAAGGAAAAGTGGATTATACGGTGGAGGAAACGCATAAGAAGGGGATATGTCCTCTTTATGTACGTCTCCTCCCCCGTCAATTTAGGGTAGGCTAAGCATTTGCAATTGCGGATATTATGGGCAGCGGCCGCTTTCCATTTTGGTGGATCCAGGTGGCCGCTTGCTCTTTTGTCACCTTATATTATATGAAAAAAAAATACATCTCTATCAGCCGTTATGTTCACTCCCTTCTTAAGCATATTCTCTTACAATCCATAAATACTTTCTTTGGTCTTCCGTAGCCTTTGTAGTACCTTTGTAGCCATTTTCAATCTTAATGCAATCATTATTTTTAACAAATGAAAAACGAAAAAAAAAATTACTAAAAGCTTAGATGATCTTTTAGTAGTTTTATTTTAGTTTATTTAGTTTTATTTTAGCTTTTAGTAGTTTTAAATTTTAATTATAATTTGTTTAATCAGATGATAATCATAACAACGATTAAAAATCGATTTAATGTAAATGTATGACCAAATGGTACTCTTAAAGAGTCTAAAACATCTTGTATTTGGTAGAATTGACTGATTGAGGAATAACCACAGAAAATAATACAAGCCGTTTGCAAAGTAAATTCTAACAATACTCGCTTTGCGGTATACCCGAGAAAATTGAATGGCTACCGACCATATAAATGTATGAAACATACTCTGCAGTACTTACTGTGACTTCAATATGTAATCATGCTGTCTGACTATGTTTTTTTTGTTTTTTTTTTATAATAAAGTAGGGCAAAAAAGTGGCGAGAACACCGAGGTGGTCAGCGACGCCCATGGACATCCGCAACACCGGAGGAACTACAGATGCGTTGCCGGCCTTTGAGGAAATAATAGGCTCGGTTCTTGAAGGACCCTAAGTCGTATTGGTTTGGAAATGTATATGCCTAGATCTTAGAAACGCAATGGATTTTGATGAAATTTTTAATACAGATTTAGTAGGAAGGTTTGCATGCATATTATAGGAGAGAAATATTGATAATTTTAGAGATTTCCGTATCGTTGGACCTGTGCGAAGCCGGGGCGGATCGCTAGTTATGTTTGTAGGTTTTAAAGATCTAGTCTATTAGGGGTAGGTTCAAAGTTAGGGTTGTCAATTTTTTAATAAAAGTTAACAATGAAATTAAAAAGATAGTTTAATTAGAATTAATTTAAAAGAAGAAATCTTCAACTTGGTATATTTATTTGTTTTCCTTGGTATCTTAGTGATATGTTAAACTTGGCAAC